ACCGTGGGCAGGACGGACTCGCAGGCCCCAAGGGAGACATGGGAGACGGTGGAGACCGGGTGAGAATCTGTGTTTTTTGTTATCACAGTTTCTGAGTGCAGGGGCGGACAGAAGGCTCGCGACACAAAACAACTGGTGGCTACGATTGGTGGGGGATGGACAGCACTGGTTAAACTAAAACTAAACATTTTATTTTACCAGGTCAGGCCCACTGAGCTATGTAGCTCTTTTTCAGAAGTGACCTGGCCACAAATGATAGCTCGATGAAGTGACTTATCACGTGGACATTTATAACAGCCAAATACTCTTAAGCGTATGTTTCTAAATGTGGAGGGAACAATCAGAGGACTCGAAGAAAAATCTACGCGACCATGGGGAGAACATACAAACTCGAAATATACAGCAGGCGTCAGGGTTGGGATCAAACCCCCCCCCCCCCGCCGACCTCCTGCATACCAGGCGAGGTAGTTAACATCTCGCCACCGTGATTGGGTGTGGGGTTCCTGGATGGTGGACTAAACCACCCATTTTGTTTCGTCACATTTTTGGCGGTGGATCGAAGACTCTTGGAGAGAGAGGAGAGGACTTGTGCTAGAGCCTGGTGGGACAAACGCTCTGGATAAGAGGAAATGTCGCTTGGGGTTTCCCTGGACTCCTTTGCTAATGGTCGGGTTTTCGCTTCCCAATTGTTGCTCTTCATATGTGGGGGAGTGGTGGCGCGGTGGTTAGCACACTTGTGCTATGAACCTGGCGAGGCCAGTTGGATTCCCGCTCATAGCCAACACAAGTGACGAATGTCTGATCCAGTCCTTAGCCACCACTTGCTCGAGTACCCGGTGTGGTGTGTAAACGTCAGCATGGGGCAGACAAAGGCACCAGGTGTGGTACAAGCCGCACTACCCTCCCTGTGTGCCATGTTGACCTTCATAGGTACTCACACACAACTATTGCCCTTACAATCTGTTACAAGGCAATACGGGGGATCTTTGTGGGGAGATTATACAATAACAACCATTACAAGTTACTTGTAAAATGTTCCAATGAAGCATGCGTGGGATATCTTAAAATACATAAGTACGTGGGTTATCAAGTTTTTTTTCAGGACACCTGTCAAATGTAGCATCCTGCAATAAAGGCAGCTGAACACACGATTAGAGGAGGTTGTGAAGAGAGACATTAGCCCCATTTACTGAATCGGAATCTACATAGCAGTGATCACCTCCGCCTGCAAAAACTTGGCAGCACCCTTCTGAAAAAGAGTCTTGAGAGTCAGCGAGGCTTTCCTGAGTGAACAAGCACAATAATAAAATGTATTACCAATGATACAACTTGTTACCATGAACTCCTCACTTTATTGGTTAGACTCCCTGTTCAGTGCCACCCCATCGATACACTTCCCGTACCACTCTCCCTGTGGACACGTTTCTCCTCGTGTGTGTACGCGTGTGTTCGCGTGCCCGTGCGTGTGTGTGTCCCCGTGTGACAGGGATTGCCGGGACCACCCGGGCTTCAGGGTCCCAGCGGAGCCTTGGGTCGCCCAGGGCCCCCGGGTGTGGCCGGGCCGATTGGGCCCCTGGGTCTGGAGGGGATTCAGGGACAGAAGGTGGGTGGGCATTTGCATCTGCGCACGTGTTCGATTGTGCTTGTGTATACGTACACACAGACCTCGCTTTGATACCTGGCCACATCGGTGGCCAGCGATATCAGAACAATGCGCGGTGCTTGTACGTGAATGGTGGTACGTGTGTGGGTGTGGCTGAGCGTGGGTTTGGTCACACCGGCCCCCTCCTGCAACGAGGACCTTCGTATGTGCTCGCTGATAGCACTCATGGGGGCTACAATGTCGGCAGAGAGAAGTGCAAAACATAATCCGTTGTACCAATCGGCACTAACCAACGTGGTGAAGTGTGGTCAAATAGCTCCCCCTTCCTCCCCCATATTGTTATAGCCATCAAATGAAGTCACTGCATCGAGCGCTTTCAGATGCGTTTCTGCAGCCGTCTGGAATGCTCTTCCTCCCGATATTAGGAAGCCACTGGAGATAAGCACTTTTCAATCATCTAGATTCTGAACTCATTTGTTGAGAACTGCTACTTGTGTTTAGTTTGTTGTCCTTATTAACATGCAGGCTTTCGCGACTAATATTATTCATATAAACGTTTTTTTGGGCTAGAGCACGTAAATATATAAATGTGTCGTTAACCCAGTACCACCCGACACAGTCAATTAGTAAGCTTTGTCACGTAAACAACGTCCCAATTAGCTACTAGTTGTGTTGGAGAGTAAATCCACAACATTTACAATTTGAGTACGATGTTTCCCTGGTAATTACATCCAGCATCATCGGGCGATTTTGCCAGAATTGTCGCAATTTTATTTTTACGTAATCTAACCGAAAAAAACTTTATTATGAATTGTTGTCCTTCCCCCGCACCTCCGATTATTACGGTTGGCTACATACATCCAACAGTGGATTGACTGAGGGCTGTAAATGAAATAAAGCACTTGACTACTAGTCTATGAAGGCTACGCGGGGGATCTTTGTCTTTGTGTGTGTGCATGACAGGGTGAGCGAGGAGTTCCGGGTGACGGTCAGATGGGGCCCAGAGGTGTGCCGGGAGTCCCGGGGGAGCGTGGCGAGAACGTACGTAACCTCGCACGGCCATCGGCACGTCAACCTGCGCTTGGCAGGAGGTCGCCCATTCTCCTCCGCTTCCCCCACAGTCTGGAACTCCCTTCTCCCAGCCATCCCCTGCACCTGCGATTAGCAGGGTTGGCTGCGTACGGTGCAAACTAAGTTTAACATACATATGTACATCCAAGCTGTCAATTCTCTGCTCCTGTTCGCATCCAGCGTCAAGACTTTTCTCTTCTCTTCTGCCTGTGATCGACTGACTTTCTATATAAGTAACGGCGACTCTCTGTATGTCGAGAGGAAGTCACAATTAGATCCCACATGAGTCCAAATAGCATTGTATTGTATTAGGATGTTTTTGAGAGTCTGTGGTTCTCTATCCATGTTTGTCATTGGGTCTCTATGTTTATCATGGTTATCTGTGTGAGTCGTGGGTGTCTGTGTAAGTCCAGGCTCAATAACTTTCTTTTGTTGACCGATTGCCTCGTTATTAACACAGCTACTGCAGCTGAGCAGCGAGTTGAGATGCGGTCGCGTCTAGACTCCGTATAAAGACACGCGATGCGGTGAACCGATTTGTTAGGCGTTGTGTTTAAGCGGCGCCGTCTCAAGTTGGTGTTTGTGTTCAGGGTGAATTGGGTCCCGATGGGCCCAAGGGAGACAAGGGCGAGTCGGGGATGAGGGTACGAACACACGAGTACCCATCAATCATTTTCATGTTTTTAATAAATTATTCTTTATCGCGTGTAAAGCGCTCTGAGACGCCTTGGGCGTGAAGGACGCCGTATCCAAAACGAATACTTTTTATTATGATAATGATGATGGCATTAATCATGATTATGATGATGACGGCAGTGATGGTATGATTATTCATCTCGCAGGAAGGTGAAGTGCGGGACTACATCCGACAGGAGATGAGCAAACACTGCGGTGAGACGCGCGGATTTAAACCGTCATCCCTGCGCTCGAGTGTAGCGTGTGCCGGGCAACGTCTTCACGCATTGCACGCGTGTTTGTTGTTTGTTGTATCCGTGCCACCGCTCCCTCCCCGTCGATAGCCGACCGTGCTTGACGACGACGACGACGAGAGCGTTTTTTTTTCGCAAACCGTGCCCGCGTTTTTGCGTGCCCGCGAGATTAACATGCTCTTCTCTCGCGTGCGTTTCCGCCTCTGTTCTGCCGCAGCTTGTGGAGGTGAGCTGCCCCCGAGTCCGTCGCCGCTCCATCCCGCCGCTGCTCGTCGTCTTCGCTCTCTCCCGGCCGCTGCGTTGGATCGGAAATCCGATGTCGTGATCGCGGCCCACGACCAGCGGACCACGCGCCGCCCGTGTCACGAATCAATTGGCTAATCTGTAAACTCGTGTGGGGACAAGGGGTGCTGCTGATCAGCTCGATGGACAGGTGTAACGGGGTGGGGGGGGGAGGTACTAATCTGGGCCAATCGTGGGTATGTCGGCGTTTGGGGCTGGACTGACTAATTGACCAACCGGGGATTTTCTGTCCAAGCCAGCCTGACGCTTGCCCACCGGCCCAGTTCGCCGTGCAGGTGGGTACGTGGATTCCCACCGGCTGCTCGACTCTGTGAGTGTGCTTTTAGTATTTGTTCAATACCCGGACGTGGGTTGACTCCAAACCTTAGCGAGGCAAATTCCACCACGGAGTCAGTTGGGGGAATTTCTACGAACCGTGGAGGTGAGTCCAGGGTGGGTCGCGCTCGCGCGAGCGGGGCAGGGAGCGTGCACGCACACGTGGGTCGAGGCGGCCCATGACGGAGACATCGCCAACGCCGGTTGCGATTGGCGACGTCGCGGCCGTGCGTGCATGCGTGTGTGTGTTTGCGTGCATGTGTGTGTGCGTGCATGTGTGTGTGTGTCCGTGCGTGTGTGTGCGTGCGTGCGTGCATGCGTGGGGGAGCAGTAGTGTACTCTTAGGTTTTTTCGGTAAAGTCACGTAGGTAAAAAATTTAATTAATAGAAACAAAATAAAATAATAAATCACGACGTTTCGGAGGCAACACAAGTCTCCGTCATCAGGTGGGACCGTCACAGCTAGATTTACTGTATCAAGTGAGCAGTAATGTATCGGTGAGCACACTGTGCTATGAACCCAGCGAACCGCGTTGGTCTCCCGCTCACAGCCAACACCAAATGACGATTATTGGAACTGGTGATGGGCCTCCCCTAGGTCGACTCGGCCTCAAATTAGTATCTGGTGCGGCGTGTAATCATCGCCACTGGGGAGACAAAGGCGGCTGGGCGCGGTGCTGGCCACCCCCCCCCCCCCTCGTGTGCCATGCTGGCCTTCATAGGTGCTCGCTATCAGCACTTTCCCCTACAGTCTGTTTAGATTAAACGGGGGATCTTGTCTTTGTTTGCATGCGTGCGTGCGTGCAGACAGGAACGTGCACGTGGTGGTGAACACCAATGACCCCGACTATGAGCACGTGTTCGTGGTGGAGAAGCTCTCCGATGATCAGCCACAGCAGCAGCAGGCGCAGGATGGACATGCGAAGGTGCGGCATCGCCCCGACATTAAAGCAAAGTTAACAGAGGCCCGGGCGTTCAATCGGCACCGCTCTGAGATCCTGGATTCCAAAATCCCGTTTTCAGTCACTGCCTGTGATTAAACAGTGCAGTGAGATGACGGTATTAGCCCTGTACTCTTTGGTTCTTCCGGTAAAGTCATGTAGATATAAAATAAAATGAATCACGACGTTTTGGGTGCAACACAAGCATCCGTCATCAGGTGGTACAGCTTTCATTGGACGCTTGTGTTGCGCCCGAAATGTTGTGATTCATTTTATTTTCTACCTACGAGACTTTACCGAAAGAACCAAAGAGTATGGATTCCTGCAGTCACGAAAGCTTCAAATCAGGGTTTTAGCCCTATTAAACTATAACAAAAATGACCAGGTAAGGCCCACTGAGCTATGTAGCTCTTTTTCAGAATCTACCTGACCACAAATTGTATTTCAACGAAGTGGCTTATCGTATAGAAACATTTTGCAATAACTAATGACTTACATCAATGCCCATTGACTCATACAGAGACCCATAGACTCATGTAGAGGTGAATCGACTCGCACGGAGAACGCTCGACTCACAGAGACCCATAGAACAGCACAGATTGAGTTGTGATTAAACCAGGTTTTTGAGGGTAGTGAGTTGATGATGGTCTCAGTCCAATGACCGCACAAATAAAACCCCCATCACTTGTAATTTGGCAAGGACTTTAACTAAATTTCAGCTCCCAGATTCTAAATATCAGTTTGAATCTTAAGCTAATGGGACTTTTGACTCAAAATGAAGAGTTTGACTATAAGATGACAAACTCAATTCTTCAGACTTAGACGCATTTATTGTGATGCTGGTTTTATCCAGGAGAGCCTCGCTGAGCCTCAAGACCCTTTTCCCGGAGGGTCCTGCCAAGTGTTTCACAGTCGGGGGGCGATTTCGCTGCTGAGTCTAATCCCAATGAAGTAATTTGCAATCTTTTTTTGCATTGGGATGTTTGGCGAAGACCAGCTAGAGTAAATGTCTATTTGAGCTATTGGAGAACCCAGAGGAAATGCATGCAGAGGGGAGGGGGAGAAAACAGAGAGAGAAACGTGAATCGATCCCACACCCTTCTTGCCGTGAGGCACGAATATTACCACTGTGACACACTGCCGCTCAGTTGATTATATTCACGTGATTCGCGTTTCAGTCCGTTCAGTTGGAGATGATTCAGGGAGACTGCCAGACTGAAACGGCGTCTGCTGAGTCACTTTTCAGTCATCAATAATCTTCATAATGTTTCATTGACTTTGAAATGTTGATATATGAGTTGGTGATGTTCAGCCGACTGAAAATGTTGCGATGAAGGGTCAACTCGGCCCATCGCTGAATGGAACATCACGAGTAATTGTCTCACGACTAAACTGGGCCCCTACCGCAAAGCTTTTGTCAGTCGCAATGCACAGCTCTCCGATGTGTTTTCTGGTTAAGCGAATTCAATTCGTCACATTTCGGCACGCGGAGCGAAACGTCGGACACCGCGCCGAACAACACGCAGCACAACCCGCAAAGCACACCGTACACTTTTAAACTGTCCCTGCCACAGGCGCTTTGTCATGCTCCCCACGGCTTTTGGCTACAAATGCTCCGCTTACTTGAGCAGTACAACTCTTATTCTTAGGTTTTTTTCGGTAAAGTCACGTAGGTAAAAACATTAAAAATTAAAATAAAATAAAAATCACGACGTTTCGGAGGCAACACAAGCTTCCGTCTTCAGGTGGTACCGTCACAGCCACGACAGCTGTATCAAGTAAATGAGAGATTGCAGGAGTTACCTCTGCGTTTATATAATGGTTGGAGAAGGTGGTGGGGCAAGGGCCGCATACTTATTATTAATATGGTAAGGTGAGGCTTGAGACTAAGAATAGACTGCATAACAAAGGCTGAGCCTTTGTTATGGAGAGGTGCGGTTTGTGACTCAACCTGTAACAAGAAGACCACCACTAAACATGGTAAAACAGTAATGATTGTCTGTCAAATAAGATTGGCAAATAAGTGTAGTTAAATCTTTTTTGCATGGTTAATCACATCTTTCCAATGATTACTCAGTTTGCAACCGTCATCACGGTTGAAATTATGTCTGTGTTTGTATATTTGTATGGCTTCGTGTACAAACCTTTGATGGTAGCCAGGAGGTTTGCAGAGAACCTTGGTCTCGGAAAATACAATTTCATGAGAGCCCACCGAGTTGTAGCAATGATCGGCAACGGCCAAAGAATCAGTTCTGCCGTGTTTCAGATCTGACTTGTGCTCGCGGACACGATCAGAAACATGACGTTTCGTTTCTCCAATGTAGCAATCACCACAAATGCAACTCAATTTGTAGACTCCAGGATACTGTAAGTCAGGAACGACATCCTTCACAGATGGAATCAAATCACGGATTTTATGCACTGTACTGAATCGGACTTGGATCTTATGTTTGTTTAGAATTTTGGAGATCTTTTTGGTCACGCCTGCTATGTATGGCAACGTGATAGTTTTGGTCGGAGTTTCATGTGGCTGTTTCTGTATGGTGGGAGAGACAGCTTGGCGGATAGTGCGGTCAGAGTATCCGTTCATCCTGAGGGCCCGATGTACATGTCTTAATTAACCGGCCAGGTAGTGTTGGTCAGCAATGCCATGGGCTCTGTGGTATAGCGTTTTGATGAGAGAATTCTTTTGAGATGGGTGGTGGTGAGAATCCGGTTTCAAGTAGGAATCTGTGTGTGTGGCTTTCCTGTAGACAGAATGTCCCAAGGATCCGTCAGGCTTCCTCTCAAACAGAATATCCAAGAATGGTAGTTTACCGTCTTTCTCCACTTCCATGGTGAATCTGATGGATGGGTGTCTAGAATTGATGTGGTCCAAGAAGTGGTTCAATGCTGGGAGGCCATGTGGCCAGATGACGAAAGTGTCATCCACATACCTCTTCCACAAGGAAGGACGCAGGGTGGATGTCTGGATGGCGTCTGATTCAAACTTTTTTGACTTTATCTCGACCTCCCGGTGTCTGTGTTTACGACCTCTGACGGGATCTCTTACGGTGCCGCGCAGGCTGCGGTGGCCTCCTCGCGCGAGCGTTTGGCGCGGATGGCGGGCCACAAGAGGCCCACCACATTTCCAGCGGGGCCACCGGGAGCCTCCGGGGTCGCAGAGAAAGAGGAGGGGCCGGCGAGCGTCCCCTGGGACGGGGCGACATGGAGCCACATCCAGGCACCTGGCGAGTCGGAGGAGCGCAGCGAGGGCCTCGGGGAGGCTCCCAAGAGAGAGAGCTCGGATCCTCGAAGCCGCGAGCGGCGGCACATAACAGATGTGCAAGAGCCGGACGGTAGGACGGGCTATGCAGTGCAACCCCCTGACGGCATGTGCCCTGACCTGTGAAGCCATAATCCCTATTGTTTAAATTACCAAGCCGGATGTGTGACAGCTTGCATGTCAATTAAGGTAAATTTTCACCGTTTGTATGTGAAACGTCTTTTGCACCTAATTCAGCCAACCGTGCCAATCCGGGGTGCTAATCAGAGGTGACCGCATGATTGAGTCTACGTCCGAGTATGAATATTCGTGGAGGTTGTGTGTGACCGTGGCTAAATGGATAACAGGATTCCCCCTTTACTGGACAGGCTATTTACATCCAGTTTGATGTTGTGTTCTGTTTTCAAAACTTATCCGAACGTTTACCCCATGCCAATTTTCCATTGTACTAATTTGTGTGCTTGGGTCACTGGATAGAGTTCTTCTGTTCTTCTATGTTTCCTGCACGTTCTCTGTAATGTGAAGAGTAGTTCCTGCAGACCGTCTATAGATGCTCCGAGTGTAAAGGTAAAGGTGCAGCCCTGCAATTACTTGCTCACTCCACCGCTGGAGGAAAGGCCTCCATTAGAGAGGGAGCTCTCGAGAGCCCCTCCACAGGGTATATTGGCCTACTCTTTCAGATGGGAGAACCCACACTTTACCCCGCCACAGACCATCTGCCCATTGTCTTAATTGTGCGTGCAAATTTATATGCTGGGTGGACAGATGTGGCGGGGATGGCGGTGGGTGGCAAGATTTAGGAGGCCTGCCCCACTGTTTCAATTGCTTTGCCGGGAGATCGAACCGGCGGCCTCTAGATTGTGCGAACCGTTACAGCCACGGCATTGACCCTCCAGTATTGAGAAGCCTTGAATTACTCTCACGCCAAGCACCTCGTCCCTCCCTGCCGTGTGTCCTCCGTGTCGCGGCGGTGACGGCGGCGACGGTGGCCAGGCCGATGTCGGCTGGACCTGGACGAGGGAGACTGCTCGCACCTCGCTCTGCGCTGGTACTACCGCCGCGCCAGCCACGACTGCCGCCTCTTTGTCTACACGGGCTGCGGCGGCAACGGCAACCGCTTCGAGAGCCGCGCCGAGTGCCAGGCGAAGTGTCGGCCACGTGAGGCCACGCACGCGCACACACGCGCGGACACGCGCAGACACGCGCGCGCATGCCTCAACTAGCCTCAGCGGAAACACCCACACACACACACGTACACTTTAGCTCGTGTGCATGGGTCCACGCGCATGACCCCGTGCTTCTCCAGTGCGTGACCTCTTACCCGGAAATGTATTCCTCTTCTTGGGTTTTTCGTTTCCCTTTATTTTATTTTTGCATTTACTTCCCCCATGGTAATTCACTTGTGTCGTGCAGTGACGGCATTTCCATTCGCAACTCCTGCCAGTGAAACGGGTTGACCACCCCATGTTAGCGTACGGCCTGCGAAAGATGATTTGCCCCGTGACAGGCAGTAGGCGAACATCGTCCGCCTCTTTGTATTCACGCGAGGCGCAGCCGCCGGCAGCGCGGCTCGCCGCTTGTGGTAGAGGTTCGCGGTGCGAGTTCAGCGGCCGCCCCGATTATTTCCCGCGGGGGAGGGGGGGTAATAACCACGATAAGACCCCGCGCGCCGTCGGCTTCACAGCAGACATTAAAATATCCCCCCGAACGTCTTTCGCAAGAGTAGGCCGTTGCGTGTCGGCGTCGAGCCTGCGACTTTGGCAAATTCAAAAGTTTACCCGAAAATTACTCGCGTGGGGATTCCGTACACAGCGGCAATTATCGGCCCCCTACTGGCAGACCAATGCCGCAGGTCACTCTTGCAAATGAGCCTCATCGTGGTCTCTTGAGGTCTCACCTGGTTACACACAACCTGAAACCTTCTCACATGCCCTACTGCAGAGGCATATGTTGCACTGCAAACCCAAATATGTTTTAGTCCTCACATCAGGAAAAGTAAAATCTGGATACAAACCCAGGTTCTCAAGCGGCGCCGTACTCATCCGCCGGGCCTACCGCACCCCGCAAGCCTCCCTAATACGGCCATGTCTTGTGGTGTTTGTGTGTGTGTTGCGGCTGTCGCTCCACCCGTGTATCCCCGCCAGAGGCCGACCCCAGCAGATGACTCTCGGCCCACCGAGGTGGATCCGAGAACCGAGACTTGAAACGTAATGCACACGCGGGCACGCTGCCGGAACCCGGAGCCCGGTAACTCCGACGTGACGGTGCCGGCCACCCATCCGCCTGTCCTCTGTACCCCGCTGCCACCGCCATCGCCACCACCGCTGCCAACTCGCCCGCTAAGATTTTACCAAAATCCCCCGTCCGCTCAATGACGCTCACCACCAGACCGCGGCATCTGGCTCCAGCCTCCCGGAACTCCGTCCGTCCATCCGTCGTGGAATTCCATCCGTGGTCGTCAGCTCCGAGTGTGGAGGTCGACGGTCAACGTGCGTCGGCACTGCCTCTCGGCGCAAACTCTCCCCGATGTTCCCCCTGCCCAGCCGATGTCATCCCAATGCGACATCCATCTCTCGTCTTCCTCTCGCCCTCGCGCCTTCCATTTGCCCAAGGAGGAGGCCGCGGCAGTTGGGCTGCCTGCGAGCCTCGCGCTGCAAATCCGCAGTTTGCGGTCCTCTTCCTCCGCCTGATTACATCCACCGGGATTAAAGGCCGAGTACTGGACACAAATCCGGGGGTGAACAGATCCCCTAGCTCAGGGCGACACACGGGTTCCACATTCACGCAACACTGAAGGCTAGTTCAGAGCGCGCTTTGGTTGGCGCGTATACGTGTGAGTGGGGGATTGTGTCTGCGTGTCTCTTTGGCGTCATTCCAGGAGGTGGTGTGGGTATATGCGTGCTCGTGCGCGCTTGTGCTGGTGTATCCGTGTGCGAGTGTATGTTCTCCTACGTAGGTGTGTGTGTCTGTGTGTTTGAGTGTGGGGAGCAGTAGGGTAGCAGTGAATGCGCTGCGCTACAAACCGGGCAACCCGAGTTCGATGCTGCTCACGGCAAACACCAGTGACGATTATCTGAACTGGTCCTGGGCCTCCCCTAGGTCGACTCAAATGAGTACCTGGTGCGGTGTGTAAACATCGACACTGGTGAGACGAAGGCGGCCGGGCGTGGTGCTGGCCACCCACCCCCTCGTGTGCCTTGCCGGCCTTTGTAGGTGCTCCCTTAACAGCACTTGCCCCAACAGTCTGTTAAGGCTACACGGAGGGGGGGGGCTTTAACTGTGTGTGTTTGACTGTGCCTGTGCGTGCACGCTCGTTTGCGCGCGATTTCCCTGTGCTGGTCTCACGGGAGAGACCGTCAATCTCTCTCGTTGTCGCGTGAACCGCATTTGGTGCCTGGAACAACAACAAGTGTTCGCTGACACTCAACACCTGAAGTCCTCGTTTGTTTATTTGTTTAAATGGTGCTAAACAACTCAATAGGGGGGAAGGGGGGGGGGCATTGCAGAGGGGAAGGGGGATCTGTGTTTCAATTCAGGTGCTCCTGGTGTTCTTGAACACATTCCACAAAGATTAGGAAGGGGGTTCTGTTACCCTCGAAGTCGTTATGTAAGGGGCGCATGTATTTGCTATTCAGATATATTTTTTTAGCGGCCTTATAGCCCGACTATTAAGGGCGGCGGCGAGTGTGAATGCCTTCGCGACCTCAGACTATCTTCCGTATGTTTACATAACTTCAAGAGGGTACTTATATTTAATAAATAAACACATACGTGCGTTGTGCGTGTGCTGACGCGTTGTACTTTGCAGCAGCACGTGAGTGACTGCGATGTGGACTGTGGGTGGGCCCTGCCTGCATGTAAATGGTGGCCTGGGGTCATTATCCTTGAAAAATAACACCGCAGAACGTGGTTGTCAAATGCCATCCACGCCTTCACGAGCCCACACTGAGGATCGCGGTGAAGCATGATATCGTAGTCTCCGTGGCCTTCATCCAGCAGTGGATTGACAAAAGGGCTCGCGGGAGTGGTCGCGCTGGGAAACACTACCAGCTAGGAAGGAGGCTGCTGAATAAAAGCTAAAAAGCCAGCCACACGTTGCGAGGAGAAGGAGAGAATAATGGATGCAGACGGCACAGGGTAGGTGGCACAGTGGGTAACGCCCGCGCCTCAGAGCAAGAAGGGACCTGGGTTCGATTCCCGACCTGGGCGTCTCTCTGTGTGGAGTTTGTTTCTCTCCCTGTTCTCTGGTTTTCTCCAATAGTTAAAAATAACACGCACAGTGAAAGTGTTACTCGCCAAAAAAAAAACATCCAACAGCTGAAAAATTACACTGCGAATTAATAAACTGTGATCACACACAGGAGAAAAAATCCGGTGGAAACTTGGCAGGACCCTCCGAAAAAATAAACTTGCGACTCCGTGAAGCTTTCCCGGATAAATAAGCGGAAAAATTATGATAATAATAATTAGCCAACCAACCGCACAGAACCACAGTGGACGGACACTGGTAGTATTTTAAAAGACAAACAATTTCTTTGTAAGAATTGGGAAGCTACTCAACTTCTAAAAATAACTATAGGGTAGTTTTCTTTATTATTACATTCATTTTTTTCCTTTAACTTTTTCGTCTCTATGTTTTACCCCGATGGTGCTATTTGAGACGAAGAATCCATCCAGGACTCACGCACAGCACTGCAATCATTCACATTAGAGATTGGCCCCCGGAAGTGGCTATTGCAGAACTGCCTCTGAGATCCATCCAAGTGACATCTGGTCGACTAATTAGAGAGCAGCACTTTCCCACCGACACTGCCACAGATAGTCACGTGATGATCAAAGTGATATTTTTATTTCTCATGGCTAGGACAAATTAAGTGCACAATCAAATTTCATACGATCTTTTTTGTGTGTGGGTGCCACGGGTGTTTGGTGACCAGGCTGAGACCATCACCAACTCGCTGCACTTGAGAACCCAGTTTATTCACAAGCAGGTGAAACCTGCCTTCAAACCCAAAGATCTTGCCAGTACCAGCTCGATGGCCTGACCTCTCGTGATTTTTTCTCCACTGCACATCTGAGCCGTGTCAGGGCCATGCCAAGCCACCAGAGACCCCGGTTAATCATAAAAACGAGAATACATTCGTCAAAAGCACAGCCTTATGAGGAACAATATATTATCGCTGACGTTCTGGGCAATGGCCATCCGCCATGGCACATGAGTGTATGTATCCATTATAGAGGTTTTTGGGTTAGATCACGTAAATATATAAATGTGTCGTGAAAACCCGCCACCACCCGACACAGCCAACTAGTAAGGGTTGTCACGTAAACAGAACGTGCCAATTCGTCACTAGTACAGCACACCGGTTTTGTGGAGAGCCAAGCCACAACATTTACAAAGTGAGTACGACGTTTCACCAGTAATTACGACTAGCTTCATCAGGCGACAGCCAGATTTGTGGAGAAGTCTTACTGTTTCATTCCTTATATAGAGGCATAGATGTGTTGATCACCCTTCTGCGCTCTTGTACAATTTGGGGGGGGGGGATTACTGAGGCAATGTACATTATGCCACAAATCTGGCTGTCGCCTGATGAAGCTAGTTGTAATTACTGGCGAAACGTCGTACTCAGTTTGTATTTACACGATCTAACCCAAAAACCTTTATTATGGATATTGGTCGCGAAAGCCTACGTGTTAAAGTGTATGTATGTTGAACTTCTTTTTCACCGTACGTAGCCAACTGTGCTAATAGGTGAGGGGTAAGGACAACAAACTAAACACAAAAAGCAGTTCTTCTTGGTTCTTTCTGTAAAGTCACGTAGAAGGGAAATAATAAAATAATAAAAATAAAACATAATAAAATCATTCTCACGACGTTTCGGCCACAACGCAATCAGCCGTCCTCAGGTGAAGAACAGGTCTGTCAGAAAGACACCGCAAGCAGCCGTCCTCAGGTGAAGAACAGGTCTGTCGGAAAGACAGTGCGTTGTGGCCGAAACGTCGTGAGAATTATTTTATTATGTTTTATTTGTATTATTTTATTATTTCCCTTCTACGTGACTTTACCGAAAGAACCAAGAAGATGAATCCCTGCAGTCACGAAAACATCAAATTGAAATTTAAAACAAAAAGCAGTTCTAAAGAAATTAGTTTCAATCTAGATTATTGAAAAGTGCATAGTGCCAGTGGCTTCCTAATATTGGAAGAAGAACATTCCAGACGGCCACAGAAACGCATCGATGGTTAGCCAAAAGCCACTGCAAGGATGACCGGAGTTTCCGTGCTGATGGTTGATGCTCCTTGACGAGACCAGCAAGGTATTGTGGTTTATTTGTGGTAGGCACTTTGTGTGTAATGAGTGCGAACTCATAATGTATTCGTTGGGCAACCGGAAGCCAATGCAGTTCGGGCAAGTGCTGAAAAATGTCCTATAAGTCAGTGTCATTGACAAATGTGTTGCGATTGTTTGCTTGTGCACCACTGCCAACAGCAGCATCGCCAAGTAATGGGTTGAACCACATTGAGCAACACCCAGGGTCTCGGTGGCTCCAGTTCAGCAGGCTGACCTCAGAGCCACGTGCTCACCTCGGCCCGTCTACTTCGTGATTGAGAGGCAGTGAGTGGGGCCACACAGGGAGCAGGCGGGGACACCAGCGAGGTGTGGCGGGAGTCGGGGTGGGCCACACGGAGACAGCGGCACGGGTGGCTTGTGTTCAGTACCTGGCACAAAGACACAGATCCCCCACATAGCTTGAACAGATTGTTGGGGCAAGTGCTGTTAGGGAGCACCTATGAAGTCCAGCAAGGCATACGAGGGGGTGGGTGGCCAAAACCACGCCCGGCCGTCTTTGTTTCCCCAGCGGTAATGTTTACACACCACATCAGGTACTCATTTGAGACCGAGTCGATCACGGACCGGTTCAGATAATCGTCATTGGTGTTGTCCGTGAGCGGCAATCGAACTTGAGTCGCCAGATTCGTAGTGCAGCGCCAACTGCTGCACTACTTGACACGTATCCGCACACAAAGACACACACCCCATGTGTAGCTTTCTAGACTGTTGGGGCAAGTGCTGTTAGCAAGCACCTATTTAAACACATGCAGGCCGACACAGATGATGTAAATGGTTTGTGTGAGACGATAGCATTTAAACATGGGAGTTGCGTTGGTAGTTCATGTTGCTGTGAGATAGTACTGGTGGTTCACGTGGTTTGTGACCGGTGGTTCACGTGGTTTGTGAGTGGTGGTTCACGTGGTTCGGTACCGATAGTAGTTTGCCTTGAAGGGGCCGCCCTTGTTGAGGCCCAGGTAGCGCGCCTGCTCGTCAGACAGCTCGGTGAGGCTCGCACCGAATGACGGCAAGTGGAGGCTGGCCACGTACTCATCTACTCACCACACACACAGTGATACTCACTCACCATCACACACACAGTGATACACTCAGCTAGTCACCATCACACACACAGTGATATACTCACCTACTCACCATCACACACAGTGATACACTCACCTACTCACCATCACTCACACAGCGATACACTCACCTACTCACCATCACACACACAGTGATACACTCACCTACTCACCATCACACGCACAGCGATACACTCACTAGCACTCACCACAAAGATAGACAAAGATAAAGATCCCCCGTATAGCCTTGACAGACTGTTGGGGCAAGTGCTGTTAGCAAGCACCTATTTAGGCCAGCCACGGCACACGAGGGGGTGGGTGACCAGCACCGACCGCCTTTGTCTCCCCAGTGGCGATGTTTACATATCGCACCAGGTACTCATTTGAATGAAGCCCAAGACCAGTTCAGATAATCGTCACTGGTGTTGGCCGTGAGCGGGAATCGAACTTGGGTCGCCGGATTCACAGCGCAGCGCGCTAACCGCTACACCACCGCTCTTCTGTTGAAACGCACATACATAGAACGTACGCCTCTATGTTGACCAGTGCTATGCGTGCCGAGGCAATTCCAAACCCTGGAATTCTCACAGGCCACTCCGGCAGTCATGGCTTTCCACTAAAGCCAAAGTGAACCTATGCCCTTGGGAGGTCACTCATTTTTTTTGTACCGCCTCCACAGTACACACACACACACACAACTACCACCAGGCCACAGTACACACACACAACTACCACCAGGCCACAGTACACACACACACACAACTACCCCAGGCCACAGTACACACACACAACTACCACCAGGCCACAGTACACACACACACACAACTACCACCAGGCCACAGTACACACACACAACTACCACCAGGCCACAGTACACACACACACACAACTACCCCAGGCCACAGTACACACACACAACTACCACCAGGCCACAGTACACACACACACACACAACTACCACCAGGCCACAGTACACACACACAACTACCACCAGGCCACAGTACACACACACACACAACTACCCCAGGCCACAGTACACACACACACACACAACTACCCCAGGCCACAGTACACACACAACTACCACCAAGTCACAGTACACACACACACAACTACCCCCAGGCCACAACAACAACAACAACCGCCATTCGCCACTAAGTGGCGGTGACGTCACCACGACGCTTGTGCCAGGCCAAGTGCACCTTGAGGCCACGTGAAGTGTCGAACGCCCGCTGGCAGGAGGTTACGGGGCAGACCCAGCAGGTGCCATGGGTCGACTGACCGAGATGACCGAGATGACTGGCTGATGCACCACCTGTGCCCCCTACTGTACCAACTTTCTGTGCTGTAGCCACCCGGCGCTCCGCTCGTTGTTGTGAGCGTCGCTCCTCCGCCCTCCGTTGTTGTTGAAAGGCGACTGCCTCCAACTGCCCAGTAGCGTCCTTCACGAGCCTCCTCCACTGAGGCCGATCTTGACACCACTGGTACTAGTCATCGGCAAGTCCACTCAGCTCCACATCCTCCTGTACCACATCACTCCATCTCTTCTCTAGCCCGTGCCGCGCCCGTTTAGCCCCCTCGATCCGGCCGAACAAAAGCTGTTTAGGCATGCGGTAGCTGGGCATGCGGGCTACATGACCCAGCCAACGCAGCCTTGCCTGCCGGAGGAGCTCACCGATGGGACTTTGCCCAGATCTTTCAAGGATTTGTGAGCTCCTCACACAATCCAGCCTGGTTAAACCCAGGATGGATCGTAGGCAGGCCAGCCTAAATGTTTCCAACTGGCGAAGATGCTCCATTAGGGGGGTCCACGTTTCTCAAGCGTAGAGAAGGGAGGGAATGACCGTGGCCGAGAAGACCTGAAGCTTCGTGCGGAGCGACAGACCAGGTAGCTTCCACACAGCGTTACGCAACCAATGAAAAGATATTGCCGCTCGACTGATTCGGAGTGAGACCGCTGCTGATAAACTGGAGCCGGTCATAAGCACACTGCCCAGGTATGGGAAACTCTCCACTCTCTCCACAACTGCCCCATCACCGATTGGGAGTTGTGGGGGTGGAGTGTCCGATGGTACAAAATACCCAGGCAGGTGCTTAGTTTTGGTGGGGCTGATGGTAAGGCCCCACCTCTTAGTGGCACGCTCCAGTCTCAGCAGCAGCGTCTCCAACTCCTCTTCTGAATGAGCAGCTGTTACCAAATCATCGGCATACATAACGTGGTTGACCAATAGGGAGCCATCCCTTGATCGCACCCGGGCGTCGATCAACCTCCCATTATATCTGTACAAAATGGAAATTCCCCCGGTACAGCTATTGAAGGCTTCACGAACTACGCAGTCGAAATAGATGTTAAATAATGTGGGAGCCAGAGGACATCCCTGTCGCACCCCAAGGTGTACAGGGAAAGGCTCCAACTCCCGGCCACGTAGTTTTACCCGGGCCCGCACACCATCATGAAGGTCCTTAATGATCGTGAGCAGAGGGTCAGGGACTCCGAAAGCACGAAGAACAACCCAGAGCCCAGGCCTACTGATGGTATCATAGGCCTTGACCAGGTCAATAAAGCAGAGATGTAGGTCTTGTTGGAATTCCCTACACCTCTGCTGTTGCAGACGGACAGAAAATATGGCATCTGTACAGGACCGCCCTTTCCTGAAACCGCATTGGGGTTCCGCAAGCCTCTCCTCAGCGTGCCTAGCAAGGCGAGGAGTGAGATGCCCCTGTAGTTGTTACAGTCTGTGCGGTCCCCCTTCTTAAAGAGGGGGACCACCAGGGCATCCTTCCAATCCTGCAGTACCCGTCCAGCGGTCCAGACTGTTGTTATGATGTCATATAGGGCAGTCTGTGCACAAGCACCACCCTCCCTCAGCATTTCGTTTGGGAGATCATCTCTGCCCGGTGCCTTTCCTGGTCTCAGACTCCGGATCGCCTTCAGTACTTCCTCAACAGATGGCACCTCAGCCAGCCACTCACAGGGGATGACCTCAGTACACACACACACACAACTACCCCCAGGCCACAGTACACACACACACAACTACCCTAGTCCACAGTACGCACACACACACACACAACTACCACCAGGCCACAGTACACACACACACACAACTACCCCAGTCCACAGTACGCACACACACACACAACTACCACCAGGCCACAGTACACACACACACAACTACCACCAGTCCACAGTACACACACACACACAACTACCTCCAGGCCACAGTACACACACACACACAACTACCCCCAGGCCACAGTACACACACACACAACTACCACCAGTCCACAGTACACACACACACAACTACCTCCAGGCCACAGTACACACACACACAACTACCACCAGTCCACAGTACACACACACACAACTACCCCCAGGCCACAGTACACACACACACACACACAACTACCTCCAGGCCACAGTACACACACACACAACTACCACCAGTCCACAGTACACACACACACAACTACCCCCAGGCCACAGTACACACACACGCACAACTACCCCCAGTCCACAGTACACACACACACAACTACCCCCAGGCCACAGTACACACACACACAACTACCACCAGGCCACAGTACACACACACACACACAACTACCCCCAGGCCACAGTACACACACACGCACAACTACCCCCAGGCCACAGTACACACACACACACACAACTACCCCCAGGCCACAGTACACACACACACACAACTACCACCAGGCCACAGTACACACACACACACAACTACCCCAGTCCACAGTACGCACACACACACACAACTACCACCAGGCCACAGTACACACACACACAACTACCACCAGTCCACAGTACACACACACACACAACTACCTCCAGGCCACAGTACACACACACACACAACTACCCCCAGGCCACAGTACACACACACACAACTACCACCAGTCCACAGTACACACACACACAACTACCTCCAGGCCACAGTACACACACACACAACTACCACCAGTCCACAGTACACACACACACAACTACCCCCAGGCCACAGTACACACACACACACACACAACTACCTCCAGGCCACAGTACACACACACACAACTACCACCAGTCCACAGTACACACACACACAACTACCCCCAGGCCACAGTACACACACACGCACAACTACCCCCAGTCCACAGTCCACACACACACAACTACCCCCAGGCCACAGTACACACACACACAACTACCACCAGGCCACAGTACACACACACACACACAACTACCCTAGTCCACAGTACGCACACACACACACACAACTACCACCAGGCCACAGTACACACACACACACAACTACCCCAGTCCACAGTACGCACACACACACACAACTACCTCCAGGCCACAGTACACACACACACACACAACTACCCCCAGGCCACAGTACACACACACACACAACTACCCCCAGGCCACAGTACACACACACACACAACTACCCCCAGTCCACAGTACACACACACACACAACTACCCCCAGTCCACAGTACACACACACACAACTACCCCCAGGCCACAGTACACACACACACACACAACTACCCCAGGCCACAGTACACACACACAACTACCCAGGACACACACACACAACTACCCCCAGTCCACAGTACACACACACACACAACTACCCCCAGTCCACAGTACACACACACACAACTACCCCCAGGCCACAGTACACACACACACACACAACTACCCCAGGCCACAGTACACACACACAACTACCCCCAGGCCACAGTACACACACACACACACAACTACCCCCAGTCCACAGTACACACACACACACAACTACCCCCAGTCCACAGTACACACACACACAACTACCCCAGGCCACAGTACACACCACACACACACAACTACCACCAGTCCACAGTACACACACACGCACAACTACCCCCAGTCCACAGTACACACACACACAACTACCCCCAGGCAGTGGCCCTACCGAGCTTCTTGGGCAGGAGGTAGACGTCGCGCTTGTAGCGGCCCTCGGGCGCGTTGTTCAGCTCAATGAGAGCCAGGGCCTGTGAGGGCAGACCCGGGGAAGGGGGGCCGGGGGTGAGGGGGGGGCAACAGGGCGTGAGTTCACACACGGGGGGGGGGGGTCAGTGCCGGATTAAGCAAGTGCGGGGCCTGTAGCATATGTTATGAAGGGGCCGAAAATAAAAAAAGAACACGTAAATATTAAAACACATACATTTTTAACTCGCACAGTAAAGTCATTGCATTTTTTTACTTGTTCGAGAGCCAGATAATTTGACAAATCGCTAACCTTAAACACCCCGTCGTTCATACAAGTTGAAGGCGGTATAGTACTATAGTAATAGAGCAAGTGCAGAATCACTCAACCGGAATTGATAGCTTGAAATCATTTAGCGCGGGGCCCTTGAAAGTGCGGGGCCCGTAACTACATATGTGGCTACTTCTGCGACTAGGATCATCCGGCACTGGGGGGGTCCTGTCTGAACAGACGACGCGAGATGGGGATGCGACATGAAGTGAGCGAGATCGGGGGTACAGGCAGAGGGATTGGCGTTCCTGCCGCTTCTTGACCATTATTATTTGTCAGTTTGTTTTACGTTGCTGAGTTTCTTTTCTCCGAAAAGGCCGTACAACGCATAACAAACGACACAATGCCCCGATCCACAAACACACGAAGGAGACGTCACGGCGATACGCTCCGCTGATCGTGACGCACTTGTCTGGCTTGACCAGCTGAATGTGAAATCGTAAGTTGTTGTCTCGGCATCAACGTCAGTAGCCATACGACATGAAGAAGGCTGCGAATTCAAATCGTGCTCTGGTCGTAGGAAGTCATGGGACGAAGACGTTTCCTTTTGGAACTCTTGCGGTGAGCAGCAGTGTGCCACCTTGTTGCAGAGAATGACCCCTGAAGGTGAGGTCACAAAGAGCTTAGTGGAAAAGAGCACTCGATAGTGTAGTATCCACACTAGGGGTGAAACTTTCATATTCCCTGCAAAGAGTGCTGGTCGTATGGAAATCAAACCGAGCGTTGAATAACCCAACCAATGATAATGGATATCCATTTATTCTAGATTTGAAGCTTTCGTGGCTGCAGGATTCATACTCTTTGGTTTTTTCGGTAAAATCACGTAGGTAAAAAATAAAACGTGAAATTTAGTTGTTTTCATTTATTTTATTTTATTTTTACCTACGTGACTTTACCGAAAAAACCAAAGAGAATGGATATCCATTGCAATTTATCTGACTACATTAACTCCGCCCCTCTGATCTTCGCACCTGATTGACTCACAAGTGGATACAACATCACATTTACCCCCCCCCCCCCACCTCTATTTAAGACCGAAACAGGATGAGGATTATCCACAACTCTGGTTGTCGCCTGATGAGGCTGGTTGTATTTAACGACGAAACGTCGTACTCGATTTGTAAATGTTGTGGGTTTACTCTCCAACACAGCGGTGTGGTGCTGTACTAGTAACTAATTGGCACGCTGTGTTTATGTGACAAACATTACTAATTGGCTGTGTCGGGTGGTGGCGGGTTTAACGACACATTTATATTTACGCGATCTAACCCAAAACAAAACCGTCTGTTATGAATGATATTTGTTGCGAAAGCCTCAGTGTTAAACTGAACGTTTAGATTCTCAATACTGGCTGACAGTGGCTTTTGATGCAGAGCTATGCGAAAAGCTCAGACCACCCAGCTCACTGCACTTGGGAACCCAGTATTTTTTTTCTTCCCAAAGACGGTCGAAAACCCAGATTCAAACCCAGGAACCTCCGGTGCTGCCGGCACCCTGAGCGCATCAGGCCACGTAGCCGTGAATCTCACCTGCGTGGTGGCGGTGACGGACAGCACGCATGTCGGCACGCCGGCACAGCTCAGGTTCAGCAGCCGGCCCTGCCCATGGCACACAAAGACAAAGGTCTCCCCTTGTTGTCTTATCAAACTGTTGGGGCAAGGGCGGTTAGCGAGCACCGATGAAAGCCAGCATAGCACACGAGGGAGTGGGTGGCCACCTTTGTCTCCCCAGTGCTGTTGTTTACAAGGCACTCCAGGTACTCATGCAAGTAGAGGAGCTCCGGGATTGGGTTAAGATATTCACCACCATTCATCGAACTCAGGTCGCAGGGTTTGTAACACAGTGCACTAATCATTGCACTGACACTCCACTATACACACGCATGCACACTCGTATACAGGTGACAATACGCATGAGTCGTGGAAATAATTTGACCCTACTTCACCACGCTGGTCAAGCCAGTGCCCATCGAGCTGCATTGACTTCCAGTTACCGAACAAATACATTATAAGGACGCACTCACTACACACAAAGTGCCTACCACAAATGAACCACAATACCTTGCTGATCTCGTCAAGGAGCATATACCATCACGCGAACTCCGGTCATCCTCGCAGCGCCTTTAGCTAACCATCGAACAAAGACGGTCACTGCATCGCGCGCTTTCAGATGCGCTTCTTGCGGCCGTCTGGAACGCTCTTCCTTCCGATATTAGGAAGCCATTGGAGCTATGCACTTTTAAATCATCTCGAGCGAAAACGTATTTCTTTAGAACTGCTTTTTGTGTGCTTAGTTTGTCCTTACATAAAAGGGCGCAGGGCAGAGGTGTGGGTGAGAGACAACAATGGCCTTGTCGGGTCCACCCTCTGCCCATAATGTAGTGCGCCAGCGACCGACAGCGCCTGTTTTATGCACAGTGGTCAACCCATCCAAGCACTAACTAGGCTCAACCCTGCTTTCCTTCCCAAGCTTCATGAGACCCGGTGATTTCCGCATTTGCAGGATAACCTCAGCCGAGCACTCGGGCCGGTGCTGGCACTGACCTCGGCCAGCAGGGTGATGCGTTTGCCATCCGGCCAGATGATGTGGTCGACCTGGGGGCGAACTCGCTCCCACGTGAGCTCAGTGGTGTGCAGGCTGGCCTGGGGGGGGGGGGGGCGCACGGGACACGCACACAAAGACATTCAGAACCATGTGACCCACACTCGCCCCTACAGAGCCCACACCCATCCCTATGAGGACACTCACCCCGAAACACGACCCACACCACAGCAGATGTCCCGTGCACGGCCGTGTGTCTGTGTGTGTGAGAGTGGGGAGTGGTAGTGCAGCGGTTCGATTCACCGGTTACGTCCGACACCAGTGATGATTATTTGAACCGGTCGACCGAATCGAGGCCCAGGACAGAGCCTCCCCTAGGTCGACTCAGCCTCAAATGAGCACCTGGTGCAGTGTCTAAACATCTCCACTAGGGAGACAAAGGCGGCCGGGCGTAGTGCTGGTTAACCACCACCTCGTGTGCCGTGTCAGCCTTCGTAGGTGCTCGCTAAGAGCACTTGTGCCAACAGTCTGGTAAGGCGACACGGGAGATCTTTGCCTTTGCTCATGCACCCACGTGACGGATCCTTACCACGTCGATCTCGGTGTTGGAGTGTCCCATGTTGCACACGATCGCTCCTCCCTTGAGCCGCTCCATGTGCTCACGCCGCACCACGTGCTTGTTCCCTGCGCAGCGGCACCATCGACACCATCAGAGAGCACCACCGCTCAACCATGACCGCCACCAGTGCCATCATTCGACACTCACCACCACCTCCACCGATCGACACTTACTGTCATCGCCACCACCATCACCACCACCACTGCTCAACACTCACTGCGATCACCACCATCGCCACCGATGAACACTCACTGCCACCACCACCACCACACGTCACCCACTGCCACCATCACCACAAATCAACACTCACTGCCGCCGTCGTGATCATCATCATCACCACCGCCACCACCCACGCACACCGCAGGCACTTACCGGTGCAGGTGATGATGATGTCCACCAAACTCACCACCTCGCCCAGCTTCACCACTCGGAAACCGTCCATGCTGCACGCGCACGAGACCACGCATGGACCAGCGTGTAGCACAAGCATGGGCGACGCTCCACTCCGGCTCCCCAAGCGCTCGCCCAAACATTAGGATTCCCTCTAGCCACGGGTGAGTGGGTGGGCGGCTTAGAGGTCAGAGCATTGAGCTGGGACGGCTGAGATGCTGTGTTAGGATGTGGGTCTACAGTGCAATGTAATATGGACGAGGAAGCCACTGGAGCTATGCACTGCTTTTTGTGTTTCATTTGTCCTTCCCCCCCCATCTTCGATTCGCAAGGTTGGCACGAAAGAAAGTTCAACGTGCAGTACATGCATTGCCACCTTGTAGTATACTATTAAAGACACATTCATGAAACGGTTACTTGAGGAAGTACAAGGTGTGTGTTTATTGATGTATCTTTAACAAATGGGACAGTGCTAGGCAGAGAAGAGGAAATTGTTGAGCCTAAACGTGGACAGAAGGGAGCCAACAGCATGGACAAATGGGGGGTGCCCCCCCCTTCCTGGCTCCTGCCCCTCGCCGACCCCCTTTGTCTTCCCAATGCAATGACGCCTCATTGCTTTTCAGCCCCCCAGCTACGACCAGGGCCCTATCCCAGCTCATCCTGATCAATCCCTCTTCATTTACTGTCTTCAAAATTGCACCACCTACTTACAAACACATTCCTGCGGAGGGAGCTGGTCGGAACGTTGGGTTGCTCGGTCAATGGCCAGGGTCAACGGCGGCGTGGTGTATTCCGCAAATATGACCGACTGTGAGGGCGGGCATAAGCCGGCGTGAGTAGGTTAAACGTTGAGTTTTATAAGGGCACCACAGGGTGACCAGCCCCTCCCCACCCAGCCCCACCCCTCCCACCCCCCACCCAGCCCCACCCTCCCCACCCAGCCCCTCCCCACCCTCCCCTCTCCACCCAGCCCCACCCCTCCCATTTTTGGATGCACGACGGACGGACGGACACAATCATTCCCTGTGGGTTGGTGTAACCAGGAGGTTCCTACCAGTATAACTTAATTCTTAATTTAAAATCGTTATCACCCTATGTGCAATTTTATAATCGCTTTAAAGCGACTTGGTAGAAGGCGCTTTATGAATTTTGATAGGCTAATACGAATTCCATTGTGACGTCAGAGTTTTACAAGGTATATACGCTGAAAAGACGTTTTTACTAAGTGCGGACTTTTTTCCCATCGACCAGGGGTTTTGGGTTTTCAAGTGCAGAGTGCGGATGCTGGGGTCACCGATGACTGCGCACAACACCCCATGGGGTGGGTTTAAAATGTAATGTTGCTCAATTCCATTTCTGCGACTTCAAAACAAACAATACAATAATTGGTTTTATCGCTATTTGATAAACATGTCGACAGCAGGGCACGTGGGAGAGTGCAGTGGCCCCCTGGTGTGGACAAGGGGTCACTTGAAGGCATCTCAGAGGTAGTTCTGCGATATCACGTTCCGCGGAGTTGCAGACGGACACATGGTCTCGTGACATGATGCCAATAAAGCAAATTTGAAATTTGTTGGGAAAAGACGAGCTATTTTAAACGGCAATCGCTACCTAAATTAAAGAATGTATTCACGTTCATTGAAACTAACACAGCATTGCTAAAACATTACTAAACATTTAGTGTAACTAATAAACTAGGACAAACCTGTATCACCATGTATGCAAATATACCTTCATGTTAACAAACCTAAAATAATATCACAGAACATAATTTATTCAAATACATGAACCTTTAAGTATAACTTCCTACCACTTCCTGCTCTCTTGTGTGCGCGGATTGATGACATCACATCACCTAATTAAGGCCCAAGGCTGGAGGACATTTTCACAATTCTGGCGACTGCCTGATGATGCTTGTTGTAACTACCAGTGAAACGTCGAATGACTAAAGAGTTAAGCATAGTGGATCGCTCTGTCTAACATTACCAGTGCGCTGAAGCAGTAACATACGGGTTAATACATTTTCTTGCCCAAAAATCGATTGTGACTCAAAACGGGAAAAACGATTCCCTGTGCGCTCACCACGCCTGCAGAGCACAGATGGGGTCGACCTCGGTGACGTACACGATGGAGCAGAGGCCCTTGAGCGCAGCGCAGCAGCCCTTGCCGACCTGTGGCCCCCACACACAAGCCACGTTGGGCACGGCAACGCCACGGCCGTCGTATACGCATCGCACCACATATCTGCGCGAGAGCGTCGATGAACCGTAACGGAAACAATGACACGTGCGTTTATATCTGTGACTCGTCGGAAGTGGAAGGGTGGCTGGAGGGGTCAAAGGGCTGAGCCTACACCGCTGAGATCCTGGGTTCGATGCAGGCCTGTGATTGAACCAGGTTCTCAAGTGTAGAGAGCTGATGATCTTAGCTCGGTTACCAATGAGTGAACCGTTGCATAAAATTTGGTACTGCGCTTAATTTGTCATTCCTCTCATATGCAGACCAAGTGGGAAAGTGTTTTGCTGTCCTGTGTGTGGACCAGACGTCTCTCTAAGGGTTCTCTGAGGGTTCTCAGCAGTAGCTCTGTGATATCCGCTTCCATGGGCCATTCTCAAAGACAATAGGTTTCACTGCTCTGCGAAAGATGCAAATGGATTCTTCGCCTCATGACGTCACACCGAAAGCACGATCATAAAAATGAGGAATTCCCCAATAAAATTTTGGGCCGGCAGAATTGACGTTTGTGCGATAAATACCAACGGGTGCACGGGGCGATGCCTAGCGAGTGCCTACCCGTTCACTGGAGTGGCACTAGGCAAGTAATGATGCATGGATTCATTGAGTAAAGCTGATTCTTAAGCTTAGTACATATAGACACGTGTGTGTGCGAATCGATTGTATACAATGTATGCGAATCGCATGCTGCTGTTACGTTTAGACCAGGGGTCGGCAACCTACGGCTCCGGAGCCGCATGCGGCTCTTTACGGGCTGCTTCTTGACGATATGTACGTATGTACAGTATGTACTCAGATGCATTGCGGCTCTTGAAATACTGAATTTTGTACCGAATTGGAAAGAAATGGCTCTTCTTGTTATTTTGGTTGCCGACCCCTGGTTTAGACCAACGGAGAGAACAAAACGGTTGCAAACGAGACGAGGGAATGAGAATACGGCTAGAAAACAAGAATCGTTTCATCGCTGGAATCGCCGCCATGGATAGCTACAACTCGCGAACTCGCCGTGGAGGCCGATATGGTGTAAAGCAGCGTTCTTCATTGCAAGGCCACTGGTGGCCCCTGATGGCCTTTAGTGTGGCCCCTAACGTGACAATACACAAAATGTGAAAACACCCCCCATCATCATCATCGTCATCGTGCTGCTGTCAAACCCACAATGGTTTCACATGTGTGGCGGTCCCTCACACTGATGATGTCTTATCGGTGAAAGTGCCCCCCCCCCCTGAAAATGAGTGAAGAGCATCGGTGTAGACTGTCACGTGGCTAACTGGCACCTACCTCTCCGTAGCCACAAATGACAGCCTGCATCCCGCCCAGCATCACGTCGCACGAGCGCTTCAGCCTGCGGGCGCAGGGTTGGAGGGGGGCGAGGGGTGAGCGAGCGAGCCGATACGGGAACGCAGGACACCCACGCTGGGCAGGGTTGCGCGGACTCACACGGATCGGCTACAGCACCGTCTCATTCTTTTATATTTTTAAAAATTAATTTTCATCCCTTCCCTCGTTTTGTTCACCAATCGCACTCTTGGCATCGCTTCGCCACCAGATTAAGGATCCGTTCGGACCTCTCTCAGAGCATTGCGACACCCCCTCCCCCCAGCTCCATGTTAGAGAACGGCTCGCGGAAGCAGATGACACAGAACTACCTCCGAGATCCCTTCAAGTGCCGGCTCTGGGAGGACGTACCCGTCGAGCACGGTCTCGCGGCAGGTGTAGAGCGTGTCGAACTTGTGCTTGGTGACGGAGTCGTTGACGTTGATGGCCGGGATGGTCAGCTTGCCGGACTTCGACAGCTGATACAGCCTGCGCACAGCACGGCGCACAGCACAGCGCACAGCGCGTCACCGCTGCACCGCGTCGTGGTGCCTGGAGCCGTTCAGTTCCCGAAGAAGCTCCCAGCACGCGAAACGTCGGACATCACGCTGAACAACGCATCTCAGCACAACCCGAGATCGCATCGGAGAGCAAATGAAGGACGCGCGGCCCCCCACCTCTCCCGCTCGCCCCCGCCGCTCCCGCGCGGCCCCCCACCTCTCCCGCTCGGCCCCCACCTCTCCCGCTCGGCCCCCCACCTCTCCCGCTCGGCCCCCACCTCTCCCGCGCGGCCCCCCACCTGTGCACGCCGGTCACGCTCTCCTCCACGACGCCCTTGAGCTGGCGGAACACGTTGGGGTACTTGCGGTACATCCAGTGCGTCAGGTCCCCCCCGTCGTCCAGGATCTGGGGTCGGAGTCAAGCACAGGAGGTTCTCAGGGCACAGGGCGCCGCAGGCGGATGTGGGGCGCAGCGGTGGCGAGACCTTAACCACCCCCACATCTCTCCGATTAGCACGGTTGGCGACGTACGGTGCGAAAGAAGTTCAACGTACATGCAGGTCGTGGGTTAGATCCCGACGCCGACGCCTCTATATTTGGAGTCTTGCACATTCTCCCCGTGATCGTGTAGATTTTTTCCCCTCCACATTTAGAATCAACATGCTTTTAGAGTATTTGGCTGCTATAAATTTCCACTTGATAAGCCACTTCCTTGGGCGATCACTTGTGGCCAGGTCGCTTCTGAAAAATTACCTACATAGCTCAGTCAGGCCTTATCTGGTAAAATAAAAAATAGTTTATAGTTTTAGAGTTTACAGGTGGACACCACACGCCCAGCCTCCCAACCGACTGCTGTGCGCGGTGGGTGAAGCTTCAGCTGAGGCAGTCATCGAGTCATCAATTTGTAATAAAGGACGACCCTGGTTCTGTCTCCGTGTCCTTTATTTGGGTTCGCGTTCTCCTTCCCTCACGGCACTCCTCCTGAGACTCTCTGCCTGGCAGCTCCACAGCTGCCTTCACTCCCGTAGCTTTCCGCGCTCCTGCAGCTCCGCTGCAGGCTCTTGGTGCAGCCCTCTGGCTGCTCTCACAGCAGCTCCACCGCTGCTCCCTGTTCCTCCGTGCTCGGTCACCGCTGGCCGGCGGTGCCGAGTCTTACCGTGTGTGGCGATCTCGCCACTCCCCAACCTCAGCCCTCCGTGGCCTCTGTGGCTATCTCGCCATCTCCAACCTCAGCCCTGCGTGGCCTCTGTGGCTATCTCGCCATCTCCAACCTCAGCTCTATCCCCAACTCTCTTCCACCCCGCTGGCTGGCGCCGTCATGAGCCCCTCAGCCACCAGGCTGAGGCACGGCGACCACCCAACGTGTTCACCACCCTTCACTCCCCCGACTGACCCAGATGGCTTCCTGTCTCCTCGCTATAACTTCTCCCCCACGTGACCCTGACTCCTCCCTCTCGGATCGTCATATCCGCCCCGCCCATTTACGCCCGCATTACACTACCCTCCCCCGTAGAGAAAATTCCAGCCGTCCTCGGCTGAAACAGAACAAAATAATGCGGGCGAAGGCATCACAATCAGGAGTCCCCCAGACACAACGGAGATTATAAGAACAACAACACAAGCAACGAAAGGGGAGGTATCAGGAACTGGAACAGAACACCAGCCTGTCCTCCGCGCAACAACAACAAGAATAAGAATGGCACAATGCACAACAACGGCAACTGACACGCAAGAACGGCCGACGCGCACAACCCAGGAATGTGATGTTTTAGTGCGTGTCCATGTTGCAGTTCCATCTGCTCGGCTCAAGTCCAACGTCAAAGAGAAAGTGGTAGAGCAGGAATGACGAACGGGCGCTCAATCACTCCTTCAAGTCCTCATCCAGTTAGCACACCAGGTAACACCCAGTGTGGCAGGCACTGAAGATCTGTGACGAGAAGGAGAATCCAATCCCCTGAGGCACAGCACAACAACGCACATCCACATGTCGTACACGACAGCCACCCGGCCCCAGGGTAGTGGAGATGATGTAAATCCGGCCCGCTTAAGAAAACCCCCCATAAATACCCAAAATAGACGCGATGGATGCCCCAGTATTTACATTTTAACAACAATATTATTTACACGTGACAACAACAACAAAATTTCCTGCTCTTGCCCACCAGCAATCCTCCCTTGAGGACCAGCACAGACATCGCACGTACACAGCATGTACCCACGGTCACTCTCAGCAAAGCCCCCAGTCGCACACCCTTGCGTGGAGAGAGCCACGCTCCCCAGTGGTAACGTTTAACTCGCCCTAACCCCCACCGTGGTCGTCAACCCACAGCAACATCCACTGACCATACTCTCGGCTAGTGCAATTTCGGGGATGAGCAGCAACTCGGCCATGCTCCTCCCTTACTATCCCATCAGAGATGGACACACACCAGCCTCGTATAGTCTGATGCTTTATAGCCCAGGGAAGGTTCATCCCCCGGCAATGCCAGACCCCATGGACTCCCCCCACGGGGCAATGTTCTCTTATAGAGACAATAACACCCTAACCCAGATCCCGTGAGCCCCCGGCACACCAGGTTCAGTCTGCCACCGCACAACTGAACCATGACTCCCCGAGCCATATGAGCACATGGCCCATTAGTTTAAGACATACCACGGAGGTTTCGCCTCCGGGCTGTCAGGTCAGCCATCAGCCATAGGCCGATGTGACCACAACTCGTGCATCACCCAATCAACAATGGCAGGCATAACAGATGGAATATTTGCCCCACCGCGGTTTTTCCCGCGCGCTCAAAATGGCGGCCCCCTTCGCCAAGCGCGTTCTCGCAATAACTCGCGCGCACTCAAAATGGCAGCCCTTTGCGCAAAGCGCATCGTCGCCATACCCCGCGTGCGCGCAAAATGGCGGCCCAACGTGCGAACACGTGGCCAGTTTTCTCCGTGCGTGCACCCCAGCTGCCCTTTGCTGGGGGTCACAAGACGCATCCCCCGTCACGTTATAACAACCCCACCAACGATAGACGCACAGCCCCAGCTTGCTGCGCACAGCAGTCATATCGTGGAAATTTTAACCAATATTTCACCAAAACACATTGGTTACACACACCAACCCGCAAGCAACTCCTGGCTGCATGCAATCAACCGAATACGCGACGCCACTTGGCGCCCATTTACGATCCCATTAGCATTAACATCTGAGCCACCCCACAACGGCGTCATCGCGCACCCTCATTTTCAAAAAGCTCAATTACCCCTATAATATACACGCAATCTCGTGTGCACAACACCCATACAACCAAATTTTTGGGTCCCCCTCTATAATATACACGCAATCTCGTGTGCACAACACCCATACAACCAAATTTTAGGGTCCCCCTCTATAATATACATGCAATCTCGTGTGCACAACAACCATACAACCAAATTTTTGGGTTCCCCTCGAATTTGTTACCAATTTCCAAACAGGTACGCACAAATAATAACAATCCCAAACCCCAATAGTCAACCAATGCATTGCACCCCATAACCGTACAGAACGGTGTAACAGCACATACAGTCAGCATATCGCGATCACACGCGTACATTTAAGCACAATAGCAAGCAGATCTGCAGGCAACCAACACACCATTAATCCTGTCGTAACTTTGCAGCAACAACACAAACATTCTCTCTCTTGCAACAACCACATCGCACATAGCACCTCGCAGCACAATACACCAAAAAAATATATATATTTTTTCAATTAAGCCCATCGCACAAGGTAACCCACGAGATAATACAGTGCAAGATACCCGACGCTCCCGAGTTAATAATTAACTTCGCCATCAAGATAACAACTCCACGCCGCAGCGCACACACACAATTTGACACTCAGCAAGTACAGCAGACTCTCCGTCCATTCTCAACACACGCACACACTTATATTGACACCGAGCAACAAGCAGATAGCGCGTTCATCGTTATTACACACACATACACACAGTCCGAACCGCGCTTCGCACAATCGAGTCATGAGAGAAAAAAACAAAATCGCCCCCTGCCCTCGAAAGATGGGTGAGGTGTGTGTTAAGGCCGGGTGCGTATCGTTACGACTCGCCCGGGGCTGCAGCAAGAAGAGGACGGCAGGGTGGCAACTTGAGACGCCTCGCAGAACTCGTTCGGCGACTTGACTGCTCCGTTGTCACGCACCCGAGCCAGGACGGGAAGCTCCCGCCCCAGCAGCTGCAGCATCGTCGTCCTCTCCTCGCAGCTCGTCCTCGCGCAGCAGCTCACTGCAGGCTGCTCTCCCCGAGGCACCTCCAGATGGCAGCGCAAAGCTGCGTCACCGCCGCGATGTTGAATGGCGACGTCTCCCCGCCGCGGTGAAGACAAGATGGCGGCTTCCCGCCTTTTCTCCCCTGCCACGCCCAAGATGGCGTCTTCGTGCCACGTGGCAGATGGCGCTGGCAGCGCAGGAAAGGCGGAGGCCTGCGGATCACCACCGGGCCTCCCCGACGCCGTCCTCGGCGTGGTGAACTCACACAGTTGCGCCAGCACGATTTTCAAGGTCTCCATCTGCGCCGCCATCTGTCTCCATCGTAAGTTGGCGTCCTCCGGCACAGACAGGTCCACCAACGCGGCGACACCTTGCTCACCCGGACCCGTACTCGTTCCAGCACGGATCTCCTCTTCCATCGCAGGCAGGTCCACCGTCTGAGGAAGGTCGTCGTCGTCTGATGATGTAGCAGATGATGGCGCAGGAATATTCTTTTTTTTCTTCTCTCAGTTGTTTTGAGATGCCGTTTCACTTCTGACACCAGTGTAATAAAGGACTCGACCCTGGTTCTGTCTCCGTGTCCTTTATTTGGGTTCGCGTTCTCCTTCCCTCACGGCACTCCTCCTGAGACTCTCTGCCTGGCAGCTCCACAGCTGCCTTCGCTCCCGTAGCCTTCCGCGCTCCTGCAGCTCTGCTGCAGGCTCTTGGTGCAGCCCTCTGGCTGCTCTCACAGCAGCTCCACCGCTGCTCCCTGTTCCTCCGTGCTCGGTCACCGCTGGCCGGCGGTGCCGAGTCTTACCGTGTGTGGCGATCTCGCCACTCCCCAACCTCAGCCCTCCGTGGCCTCTATGGCTATCTCGCCATCTCCAACCTCAGCCCTGCGTGGCCTCTGTGGCTATCTCGCCATCTCCAACCTCAGCTCTATCCCCAACTCTCTTCCACCCCGCTGGCTGGCGCCGTCATGAGCCCCTCAGCCACCAGGCTGAGGCACGGCGACCACCCAACGTGTTCACCACCCTTCACTCCCCCGACTGACCCAGATGGCTTCCTGTCTCCCCGCTATAACTTCTCCCCCACGTGACCCTGACTCCTCCCTCTCGGATCGTCATATCCGCCCCACCCATTTACGCCCGCATTACAAATTCATTAAATAACATTGATCCTTATACACTTCGCATCTACATTTCGATGTAAAGCTTTCGTGACTGCAGGGATTCATATTCTTGGATCTTTTGGTAAAAGTCACGTAGAAGGGAAATAATAAAATAATAAAAATAAAACATAATAAAATTCTCACGACGTCCTAATGGGACGCAGTCTTTCCGACAGACCTGTTCTTCACCTGAGGACGGCTGCTTGTGTTGTGGCCGAAACGTCGTGATAATTTTATGTTTTATTTTCATTATTTTATTATTTCCCTTCTACGTGACTTTACCGAAAGATCCAAGAATACACTTCACATCTGTTCACAGTAGTACCCTTTGTTTAACAAGGGGATGAAACACAGGCCCGTTGAGACGCGTGGCACGTTTTCGGGCCACCAACCCGGACAGACCCGGCTTAAATGAAGCCATTGTTGTGATGCTGTTGTTCATGATAACCGGCTATGCTCCTGCTTATTACATAGAGGTGATAATTTCCTCTGGACAATGAAACTCAACTGTTGGATAATCACTTCAAAGTGATTTTGCCCATCAATTGCTTTGCCTTAGAGTTGGTGAATTGCAGATACATCCACTCGCCCACCCACCCAGTCACCCATCCACTCACTAACCCAGTAACCCTTAAACCCACTCACTCGCCCATCACCTTCACACACATATATTAGTGGCAGTGTGAAGTAATATGGTTCATGCTTTCGTCACAGCCCTACACAGGAGAGAGTATTTAGTTACATTAACTAGTTGGTGACAAGACTGCGTTGGCAGTGGTGCACGGGCACAATTAACAACAAAAAATATATTTCTATTCATAAATAACACAATGTGGCCTTAAAAAGAAAACGAATATAATAGTTGACGTTTCGGGCAACGGCCCTTGCTGATCTCGTCAAGGAGCATAAACCATCACGCAAACTCTGGTCATCCTCACAGCGGCTTTTGGCTCGCCATCGAAGAAAGACGGTGCTCACCGCGTCGCGTGGCGCTTTCAGACGCGCTGCTTCCGCGGCCGTCTGGAACGCCTCTTCCTTTGGATATTAGGAAGCCACTGGAGCTATACACTTGTACATCTAAATTGAAAACGAATTTATTTAGAACTGCTTTTTGTGTTTAGTTTGTTGTTCTTCACCCGTACCTCCGATTTGCACGGTTGGCAACGTACGGTGCGAAAGAAGTTCAACATGCACACATTCAGGCAGAGTGTAGTAAGAGAGTGTGTTTACAGAGAGAGAGAGAGGGGTGCAGAGAAAAGAGTCACCATGTTCGGTTTCCAGCCTTCCGAGTACACGCAGCGCCCGATGCACCACCAGAAGTCCTCCTCTGACTCGCCCTTCCAGGCGAACACCGAGCACCCTGCAGACGAGCAGCGGGCACGGCCGTCAGCGCTGGGCCTCTGGTGCGGCAAGTGTATGTGTGTACGGTATAGGGACTCCTCTACTTACGAACATTCGACTTACGAAGTTTCGGAGATGCGAACAAACCTGGTCCGTATGTCGAGTAGCCTGTCAGGACCGAGGGTCGTGAGTTCAACCACCGCGCAATAGATGGCGGTGGTTGTTCGGTGTCGTTACCCATCATTCCCAACATTTCTGCCTGGGCCGCCGCCATCGTCTGTTGTCGTTGTGTTGTCGCTGTGCGGTTCACTACAACGTTCTCTGTGATTTCCACGAACAACATTATCAACCCCCATCATGTCTCAGAAGCGTGGCGTCTACATCTGCAAAACATGAAGAACCAGTGGCACCGAAACCTACACCTACAGGAGATTATACAACTTGCAAAGCCATTCCCCGTGTTTAGTGTACACGCCGTACAACACGTTTGGAATCGACAGGAGTAACGTTGGACTTACGAACAAATCGACTTACGGACGGACCTCTAGAACCTAAGCCGTTCGTAAGTAGAGGCGTCCCTGTATGTTGAACTTCTTTCGCACCACACGTAGCCAACCGTTGCAGCCAGGACTCAATTTCTCACTCAATAGTTTTCACCGTCGCTGGCATGCCGGAGATGGCACGTGACCAGTAGCCACAGCTGTGGTGAGAAGTTATTACTGGGCCTTGCATGTAGCCGACGATGCTACAGAGGTAATTACTTTGAGTGATACATTTCTGAGGCTGACATACAATACGAGAGGGGATGGTGTGGCCAGGAAACGTGGCAGATCAACCTTTGTCTCCCCAGCGCTGATGTTAACACGCTGCATTACGTTAATTACTCACCACTGATGTTGGCCATGGTCAGGAATAGAACTCGGGGTTTGTAATAATGCGGTCTGGCAAAAACATGACGCCACCCCACCTCCTCGTGCAGTCAGACGGTAATTTCCGTGGTGTGTTATGAGCAATGCCATTGGGGGGGAGGCTGACTTGAGCCAGCTGATTTCCCACATGGCGAGCTCATATCCACGGAGACTATGGATGGGGGCGAGGGGCCTGGTGACCCTTCCACCTCGAATTTAAGGACCAAAAATCCAGGGAAATATAGCGCTCCTCACAACACACACACAGATGCACCCGGACACACACAGAGACACGCGTGCGCACACAAGGATTCCCCGTGTAATCGTTGGTGGGATTGCACAAATGTTACTAAACATTTGGGGTGCCACGATGGCGAGATGTTAACTACCTCGCCTGGTATACAGGAGGTGTGAGTTCGATCCCTTCCCTGGCAGTTTGCGTGTCTCTCTCCCCGTGGACGTGTGGGTTTTTCTCCGGGGCCTTCGTTTTCTCCCTCCACCTTTAGAAACGCGCGTTTAGAGTGTTTGGCTGCTATACATTTCCACGTGATAAGCCACTTCGTTGAGCTGTCATTTGTGGCCAGGTGGCTTTTGAAAAAGAGCTACGTAGCTCAGTGGGCCTGACCTGGTAAATAAAACTATTTTTAAAACTCCCTTTCCCGTGTCTATGAGGAGTAATACCCTGGCTCGCCAGGAGACGGCGGTACAGCAAAGTGCGTGGACTAATCTCCATCTGTTCCGTCTCCCTTCCCGTGGGCGTTGAGGAGGAGCCCCATGCCTGGCTAGCCAGAAGGCAGGTGCAGCAAAAAATGTGAACTCCACCTGTGCCGTCTGTATGGCATAGAGCGTTTCACCCCCCCCCCCCCATGCAAGGATTTCCTCCGGGTCCTCTGGTTTCCGCCCCCATGTAAGCACCCATGAATTGGCCGTTAACACCTCAATATATCTAGAGGACCGCAGAGCTTGGGCAATTGCTGTTGGCACCGCCTCACCGCGTGGTTGCTGCTGCCTTCCTGCTCGTCTGTGGTTCCTCCTCGCGCCTCTGAGTCGTTCTCTCTCTCTACGAGAGCTACGAGCGAGCGCTGTGCGGGTGTGGCGGCAGCGGCGCGTTACAAGTGAGCATTATTATAATTTATTTTGTTGAAACACATGGACACACGCGCACGTGCGTACCGGCCTCAGCCAGTGCAGCGGCCACGTCGTTGTGTGTGGAGTAGATGTTGCACGCCGCCCAGCGACACTCGGCTCCGAGGTCGCACAGCGTCTCAATCAGCACCTGTACACGCACACCCACCTCGTTACTGCCGGCCCCCCCACAGATCCCCCCCAGCCCTCCGCTCACCTCCACCCCCTCTTCATTACAAGCTGCCCCCACACCTATGCTCCTCGTCGCCGTCGTTAGCTTCTAATGTTCCATCCACTCCCAGGTTAAGTGCATGTGGTGGGGAGCCGGTGGTGCAGTGGTTAGCGGGGCGCCGCGGTGGCGAGATGTTAACTACCTCGCCTGGTATGCAGGAGGTCGTGGGTTTGATCCCGTCCCTGACGCCTGCTGCTGTATATTTCGAGTCTACATGTCTCTCTCCCACCGTGGTCGCGTGGATTTTTTAATCCGGGTCCGCTGGTTTCCCCCCCCCCCCCCCCCCACACTTTTAGAATCAACGTCATGCGTTTAAAGTATTTGGCTGCTAAACATGTCCACGTGATGATAAGCCACTTCGTTGAGCTATCATTGAAAAATAAACTAATATCTCGGTGAACCTTACCTGGTAAAATAAAAAAAATAGTTTAATAAATAGCGCGCCGCGTTGCGATTCCCGCTCACGACACATCAGTGACGAATACCTGAATTGGTCCCCCGGGTCCTCCCCTAGGTCGACTCGGCCTCAAATGACTACCTGGTTCAGTGTGTAAACATCAGCACTGGGGGGAGACAAAGGCGACCGGGCCGGGTGGGGGAGGGGGGAGCGCTGCTAAGGGCTCGTACCGCGGTGTGCGCCGTGACGTGCGTGCAGCCAACGATGCGCGCCCCGGCGAGAGGGCTGTCTCGCTCCGCTCTCTTCCTCAGCGCCATGAGCGCCGGCATGTCTGCGGGGACAGAGGGCAGTGGGAACGTGACCTTGCGAGCCACGGCCTACAGCTCGACCCGCGCCGTTGTGCTGCCACTGCATCCCCACGTGTCTGGAACTCATTTTCTTCTCCGTATTAAAACAAAATTATTTGTAAAAAAAAATTAAGTGATTTGGCGAAACTTTGCACTCCCAGCGTGTTTTTGTGTTGTATATTGTTGTAACGTTCTGACCCGCCCCCAACTGGACATATGTGAAAAAGAGCTTTATAGATCATCGGATTCCTCTTGCAGTATGAATATTCCGATAGTGATCCATGGAAGATGGATACACTCCCACAGGTCAATCCGCACCTTGACACCGGCCTATCCCACCAGGACCTAGGCAGTGCCGCGGACCCCACGCATGCGATGTATGTTGAACTTCTTTCGCACCGTACGTAGCCGACCGTGGTAATCGGAGGTGCGGGCGTCGTGTGCACGGGGCAGACCCACCCTGCTGCGCGATGCTGATTTCTCGTCGTCCCAGCTCTGCACGACTCGCGTCCTTCACGCAGTAATCATCGTCCCCCGCCGTCTCCCGGGGCGACACCCCCTCCTCATCCGAGCTATCTGCAGCCACACACACACACGTGAACACACACACACACATGAACACACACACGTGAACACACACACACACACGTGAACACACACACACACGTGAACACACACACACGTGAACACACGCGTGAACATACACACGTGAACACACACACGTGAACCCAAACACACACCCCGTGTAGCCTACTTAGACCATGCTGTTAGAGAGGACCTAGGAAGGCCCGTCAAGGGATGGTGTGGCCACCACCACCACAGTCGGCCGCATGTTTCTCTCCAAAATGCTGATGTTTTCAAACTTCACCTGGCACTCATTTAAGTCCGAGTCGAACTAGGGGAAGCCCACGAATGGTTCAGATGTCATTCACCACTCACGTTGATTGTCGTATTATAATCGAAAGCAGGTCTCCATGTTTGATAGCGCAGTGTGCTAACCGCTATGCCACCACTCCCCCCACATGCACACGCGGTTACACAGACATGGGTGAACACACGCGTGAACGTACGGGTGGACACGCAGATCTCCTGCCCGGTCATCCTCGCAGTGGTTTTTGACTGGCCAACGAACGAAGAGGGTCACTGTATTGTGCGCTTTCAGATACGCTTTTGCGGCCGTCTGGAACGCTCTTCCTTCCAATACTAGGAAGCCACTGGGGCTATGCACTTTTAAATCAATATTGAAAACGAATTTTTTTCGAATTGCTTTATGTGTTTTAGTTTGTCGCCCGTTTCCCCACACCTCCGTTTGCGCGGTTGGCTACGTACGGTCTTAAAGAGGTTCAACATATGGTACGTACATACAGCCGGTGGCCAGGTTTCACGAGTGAGCGGCAGCAGAGATGTGACAAACCAACGTGGTGGCTAACGAGCTGCCAGGGAAGAGGCTGACAGCTGAGCCCACGGTCGGGCCTCATTGCTTCGCACTGCCACGGCCACAGCGGGTGACGGTCGTGGACCGCGTGAGAACGTCAGGCGAATGCTGCGGACAGCTGAGCCACACGCGGAGAGTCAAGGACGCTCCACAGTGCCACCGTGATGAACAATTCCGAACAGTGGCCTCGGCAGGAGAACCAGTGGCTCAAAAGGTTGCGAGTTCAAATCCTGTGCTGGGGGCTGACTCGGCCTTTCATCCCGTCGGGGTCGATAACAATGGGTATCACTTTGTGGGGGGGGGGGGGGGGGGTCAACGGTGGTTGTCCTATGGATAGTCGTACCCCCACCATAGGAATGTGGAATTTCCACCACTGGCTCAGGGCTGTAAAAAAGAGAGATTAGCCCCGCAAAAAATCTCTTTGACTTTTTTTTTGCGAATATCCGTCCACTGTTCATTCATTCCCTGGAACCATCTCTGAGCTTAACTAAGACACTTAATGTCGCACTCCTAAGACGTCGCTATTCCTCCATACGGCACCCCTCGCGCCCGAGTGCTCTCGCACGGACACTGCGTTCTCCCCACACAGCTGGGCAAGGCACCCGTGAAGGGTGAACTTTTCCACAATGCGACAACAGCATTACCACTGCACTCCACCGCGCGCACACAGCGCACACATTCCAACGCAGTTAACCAGGGTCATTTACGCGTCTCAGCCATCATTAAATCCATGTCGCTTGCGCTATTAAGCGTTATTACTGCTGCATTCGGGGGGAGGGAGGGAGAGGGTGGGTGGGCGACCTCGTGACCTTCACGGAACAGCAGCGGTGATGGCCCGGGCACTCAGCTCACTGCCCCCCGCACCCACCTACCCGCGTCTAATGGGTCCGCGTGCATTTTATGGAGCGGGAATCAAGAAGTTGTGGCTGCTAATTGCTACTCAAGCCGCAGGCAGCGACGATAAGAATGCTGCCACTAATCACATGGGCCCCCTCCTTAAACCGGTCTGGATTAAACCAGATGTTAAGCTCCTTGGCTGGTGTCGTAGAAAACAAGCGGTCCCCCCCTCCACCCGGGCCACGGAGAATGCAGATAAGAGGGCCTCGGTTAGTTTCTCAATGCCCCAGGCCACACACACACTCTCTCTCTCTCGGGTCCCATGGACAGATGTTCATTATTTCATCCATGATACTTCACCCACCTACGAATGTCGTGCCCTACATTGACAATTAGTCCGTTTGGCTGTGGCCACTCTAAATCTGGTGAATTTACCATCAAGAATTTTAACTCTCATGTTGGATCTTAGCTACAGCTACATTTTCAACTGTGACTTTGATTTAACAACTGTGAATATGCGAGTGTATTTTATCACTTGTTTATATACGCTAACGATTGCGGTGTCATTTATTTAAGCATTAACAATTTTCTTGCCTTGTTTAATTTATGTATGATTGTTTAATATCTCAGACTATGTAACTTCCTCTGTCATCCATAAGAGGTTTTTTTGGGGTTAGATCGCGTAAATATATAAATGTGTCGTTAAACCCGCCACCACCCGACACAGCCAACTATAGTAAGGGTTGTCACGCAAACAGAACGTGCCAATTCGTCACTAGTACAGCACTAACCGGTGTGGTGGAGGAGCCAAGCGACAACATTTACAATCTGAGTACGACGTTTAGCAGCACTGGGCCCCCAAAAGCCCCGCGAAGGCTATTCCGGGGGAGTCTTCGTCTCGTGTCCGTGCTGCCCCTCTCTTCGCACGCAACGCATCTCTGTGGGGCGCACGTCGTCATCGCCGTCATCAATGTCGTCATCGTCGTCGTCATTGTCGTCATCAATGTCGTCATCGTCGTCATCAACGTCGTCATCGTCGTCATCATCGTCATCATCGTTGTCATCAATGTCGTCATCAGCGTCGTCATCGTCGTCATTGTCGTCATCATCGTCGTCATCGTTGTCATCAATGTCGTCATCGTCGTCATCAATGTCGTCATCGTCGTCATTGTCGTCATCATCGTCGTCATCATCGTCGTCGTCATTGTCATCAATGTCGTCATCGTCGTCATCAACGTCGTCATCGTCGTCATCAATGTCGTCATAGTCGTCGTCGTCATCAACGTCGTCGGCGTCTGTGCGAGCGCATGCACCCGGCGTCGTGGCGTCGTCGTGTCGCGCGCGTGCTGCTGATGAGCGCTAACCTAGGGCGAAGCTGTCGTACGAGCCCGTGCGCGACCGCGAGCGAGGCCGTCGGATGCTGCGTTCGAAGCGAGCCTGGTGATCCTCCTGTGGGGGTTCCTGTGTCGATGACAAGAGCAAAACAAGCGGGACGCGTGGCTCCTCTGTCAACCCCTCGTGTGTGCCGTGCCGGCCTTCTTAGGTGCTCGCTTACAGCACTTGCCCCAATAGTGTGTCCAGGCTATACGGGGGACCTTTGCGACAGGCTATGCAGGTGGTACCTGTTATACCACGAACTTCACACGTTCATTCCTCCAGCCATGTCGAGCACCTTGACAAACGCTGTTTCGTCTCATTCGCACTCTTGTTCAACCCCCCCACCAAACACCGAAGATCACACAAACAGCGCACGAACTCACTCACCCACACTCACCAGACTCGTCCGCTCACTCAATCACTTCACCTCACTCACTCAACCCTCACTCAACCCTCACTCACTCAACCCTCACTCAACACTCACTCAACCCTCACTCACTCAGCCCTCACTCACTCAACCCTCACTCACTCAACCCTCACTCACTCAACCCTCACTCACTCAATCCTCACTCACTCAACCCTCACTCACTCAGCCCTCACTCACTCAACCCTCACTCACTCAGCCCTCACTCACTCAACCCTCACTCACTCAACCCTCACTCACTCAACCCTCACTCACTCAGCCCTCACTCACTCAGCCCTCACTCACTCAACCCTCACTCACTCAGCCCTCACTCACTCAGCCCTCACTCAACCCTCACTCACTCAGCCCTCACTCACTCAGCCCTCACTCACTCAACCCTCACTCACTCAGCCCTCACTCACTCAGCCCTCACTCACTCAGCCCTCACTCACTCAACCCTCACTCACTCAGCCCTCACTAACTCAGCCCTCACTCACTCAGCCCTCACTCAACCCTCACTCACTCAACCCTCACTCAACCCTCACTCACTCAGCCCTCACTCACTCAGCCCTCACTCACTCAACCCTCACTCACTCAACCCTCACTCACTCAACCCTCACTCACTCAGCCCTCACTCACTCAGCCCTCACTCACTCAACCCTCACTCACTCAACCCTCACTCACTCAGCCCTCACTCACTCAGCCCTCACTCACTCAACCCTCACTCACTCAACCCTCACTCACTCAACCCTCACTCACTCAGCCCTCACTCACTCAACCCTCACTCACTCAACCCTCACTCACTCAACCCTCACTCAACCCTCACTCACTCAGCCCTCACTCACTCAACCCTCACTCACTCAACCCTCACTCACTCAGCCATCACTCACTCAGGCCTCACTCACTCAACCCTCACTCAACCCTCACTCACTCAACCCTCACTCACTCAGCCCTCACTCACTCAACCCTCACTCACTCACTCAACCCTCACTCACTCAACCCTCACTCACTCAACCCTCACTCACTCAGCCCTCACTCACTCAGCCCTCACTCACTCAACCCTCACTCACTCAACCCTCACTCACTCAGCCCTCACTCACTCAACCCTCACTCACTCAGCCCTCACTCACTCAACCCTCACTCACTCAACCCTCACTCACTCAACCCTCACTCACTCAGCCCTCACTCACTCAGCCCTCACTCACTCAACCCTCACTCACTCAGCCCTCACTCACTCAACCCTCACTCACTCAGCCCTCACTCACTCAGCCCTCACTCATTTCTTCCCCTCTGTGTCCTCCCCTCGCTCCGCCTCACCTGGGAATTCCTTCCCTATCAGCTCTGTTTTCCCCCCAAGCACGTAATAACCTGGCTCTAATTAAAGATGCGCGTTGGACTATTTTACCTCTTAAGACTTCGACAGTGTAATTGTGTGGCTGGCCGCTTTGCCCAGCAACTGCGTTAAAATTAAATCGTAGACAACCCCCAACACAAATATCCCCCGTGTAGCCTTAACAGACTGTCGAGGCAAGTGCTGTTCGCTAGCACCTATGAAGGGGAGGGTGGGGTCAACACCACGCCGAGCCGTCTTTGTCTTCCCAGTGGCGATGTTTACACACCGTGCTAGGTACTAATTTCAGGCTGAATAGACCTAGGGGAGGACCATGACCGGTTCAGCGGGAATCGAACTCAGGTCGCCAGGTTCGCAGCGCTGCTAACCGCTACACTACCACTCCCCAACACACACAGAGACCCTAACACACACACCCCAACACACAAGCGTCATTCACCACGAAGTGGCGGTGACATCACTACGGCGCTTGTGCCAGGCTATGTGCATGTTGAGGCCACGTGAACGCCCGCTGGCAGGTCACGGGGCAGACCGAGGTGTCGACTGACAGACGACTGAGATGACTGGCTGATGCACCACCTGTGCCCCCTACTGTGCCAACTTGCTGTGCTTTAGCCACCCGGCGCCCCGCTCGTTGTTGTGAGCATCGCTCCTCTGCCCTACGTTGTTGTTGGAGGGCGACTGCCTCCAACTGCCCAGTAGCGTCCTTCACGAGCCTCCTCCACAGAGGCCGATCTTGACACCGCTGGTACCAGTCATCGGCAAGTCCACTCAGCTCCACGTCCTCCTGCACCACATCACTCCATCTCTTCTCTAGCCCGTGCCGCGCCCGTTTAGCCCCCACACAAACACTCAACACACACGCGCGAGTGATTCACGACCACACAGCTATGCAGGCGAAATGCTGTCGTGCCACAGGACGCAATTTGAAAGCGCACGTGGAGAGCGGTGGCGCAGCGGTTAGCGCGTTGCGCTCTGGACCCCCGCTCACGGCCAACACCTGTGATACTGCTTATCTGAACCGGTCCTGGGCCACCACGGCCTCAAATGAGTACCTGGTACAGTGGTGTGCAAACATTGCCACTTTGGTCCTGTCCACCCACCCGCTCGTGTGACATGCCGGCCTTCAAAGGTGCTCGCTAACAGCACTTGCCCCAATAGTATGTTTAGGCTATTCGGGGGATCTTTGTCTTTGTGACAGTGTTTGCCGGTGGTACCTGCTTGAGAGATGTGTGGTTGCCCTGGCTGGAGAGGTTCTTGCTGATGGACGTCATTGTAGAAGTCACTCCTCACGATACCGCAGGTCTCCGGGCCGTGCCAGAACCACTTGCACTCACCCCCACCGACCCTCACCCCCCACCGACCCTCACCGTGCCACTGTGACTCGCACACCCCTATCACTTGCTCACCGAGTAACTTTTTGCTCGCTCTGGCTCAACGAACTCCGTGTCGCACTCCGACTGCGAGTCGTTCGCTCGCTGTGCTCTCCCTGGCTCACCGGCTTAAATATAGCCACCGGCTCACTGTGGCTCACTGACCTTGGCTTACTATTCTGATCTGTGGCTCGTCTATGCTGTCTCACCGATCTGTGAGTCTAGGGCTCACTACAACCGTGATTGTGTGGCTCACCAAGTTCAATGCTTGTCACTGGCTTGAACAAGCTAGGGGTCACTGGCTCACCGGGGTGTCGCTCTGGCTCAACAAACTATCACTGGCAGACTCTGGTTCACGAAGTTCAATGTTGCTTTCTGGCTCACTGGGCAGGGAGTCACTGCGATTCAACCGTGGCTCGCTGACCTCTGCTTACTGTTCTTAGCTCTGGTTCACTAAATATTATGATGCACACTCTGGCTCACTGAGATGCATCATTCTGGCTCACTGTGGCTCACTGCGCTCACCACAGCCCCACTACCCATGCCCTCGGGGGTCGCTGAGTGGCGCCTGGCTGCCGTCCGCTGGGGTTTTGTGATCTCCGGAGGGCGTGTCCAAAATCCTTTACGGACAAGGATGTAATGTTTAAACCAGTTATTACAACAACATTAGGTCTGTGTCATGAAAAGAGATTAAACCACTCAGGACAGAGTCAATAGCTGCTGCACTCTGTAGGACCAGAGCCGACTGGTTTTCGGTGTGCGTGCATGCACGCGTGCCAGCGAGCACCCTTTCGCGTGAGTCTGTAAGAATTAGTACAAAGTGTGTGAATGTTCCTTTCGGGACACTCGGGAGGCGAGTCGACACTTGGACAAGGTGAAGCAAATTCAGCTCCACGCAACGCGAAATTAACGCCTCGCACACACGTACACACACTTTCCTAGGCGCTCAGTCAAGAGAAGCTGCGTACGCCAATCTCATTACACACAGCATTGGTGTTTCTTCTTTGTATGTATGTTGAACTTATTTCACCGACATGACGTGATGAAGACATTTCCATTCTGAACCCTTGCAATGAATGTGCAGTTGCACTACTCGGGAATTCCCCAAGAAGAATACATTATAGAACTATACTCTTTGGTTCTTTCGGTAAAGTCACGTAGGTGAAAATAAAATAAATTAAAAAATAACTTTTGTATTTTTATTTTTATATTTCTTTTATTTTCACCTACGTGACTTTACCGAAAGAACCAAAGAGTATGGATCCTTGCAGTCACGAAAGCTTCAAATCTATAATCATAGAACTACTTCATAAGTCACTTTAATAGGCCTCTTTATATCAACACTGGGAGTAAAAATGTGTAATGCTCTGCCAAAGAGTGTTCACCAACTGCCCAGGGTATTGAAGCATCGCTGCAAGGGAGGGTGGCCACTGCTCGAGACTAACGACAGAGCGGAAGCCAAAGGAGAGAACGCGTCCTCCACAGTAGCGGAGCAAAGCATTTGGTTCATGTGCAGGGGCTAGGATTCTTGCATTGCGAAACTCTTTGAGAGATGGAGTTGGATCTAGATCTGAATTTTTGTGACTGCAATGATCCATACTCTTTAAAGAACCAAAGAGATGGAGTTGGCTTCAGGAAGCCTTCATCCAGCAGTGGATAATGAATAAAAATGATTATTCATCACATATCGAACTAAAATTATTAATTCCCAAAACTGGAATTTTCCCAAATGAAGTTAAAACCAAATAAAACACAAGTCTTTTACTTAGTTATCTGTGCAGTCATTGGTGACTATACGGAGACCAGCAGGGCATTGCTTTGGTTTAAATACAAGACAAAGGCTATTATCCTTTCTCAAACAACCTTTCAGGAACAAAATAATGAGAAACACTTCAATTACATCGGCCCCTTTAGTTTTCCTCACACCAGCACCGCGCTCCTCTTTATGTAACGACGCAACAAACCACACCACGGGCGTGCTCTCTGGAAACGGCGCAAGGTTTATTGATGGCGGATTGGCAGTGAACCCTGCTGGCCGAATCTGTCGCTAACGGCGACAAGGATGTTACATAAAACGTCTTGCGTGGGCCACGACCAGTTGGGGCGTGTCTCAGGGCAGGCCCGGCATCTCCTCGTCAAACTTGGATCGATAGGCGGCCCGCTTGGCTGGGAACAGCAGCTGCCAGTGGAAAAAAACACAAAGACAAAGATCCCCCATACAGCCTGAACAGACTTTTGGGCCAAGTACTGTTAGAGAGCACCTATGAAAGCTGGCACGGTACACGAGGGGGTGGGTGGCCAGCACCACGCCCGACCGCCTTTGTCTCCCTAGTGGAGATATTTACACATCGCACCAGGTACTCATTTAAGGCTGAGTCGACCGAGGGGAGGCCCAGGACCAGTTCAGATAATCTTCACTGGTGTTGGCCGTGAGCGGGAATCGAACTCAGGTCGCTGGGTTTGTAGCGCAGCGCGCTAACCATTGCACTTGCACTACTTGCCACATCTTTAAAGGATTTGTGAGCAGACATAATACAGCGTGGTTAAACCCAGGATGGATCGTAGACAGGCCAGCCTGAATGTTTCTAACCCATGCAGATGTTCCGAGAAGACCCGCAGCTTCGTGTGGAGCAACAAAGTAGCTTTTACACAGCTTTAAGCAGCCAATGAAAAGATAATGCTGCCCAACTGATTCGGAGCGAGACATCTGCTATCAAACCAGTGCTGGCAATTAGCACATTGCCCAGGTATGGAAACTTCTCCACTCTCTCCACAACTTCCCCATCATCAGTTGGGGTATTGAGTGGGTGGAGTGTTTGATAATACAAAATACCCAGGCAGGTGCTTAGTTTTCGTGGGGCTGGCAGTAAAGCTCCACCTCTTCGTAGTACGTTCCAGGTCAAGCAGCAGTGCCCCTAACTCCTTCTCTGAGTGAGCAGCAATCTCCAGATCATCAGCATTCATAACATAGTTGACCAATTGGGAGCCATTCCTCGACCGCACCTGGGCATCGATCAGCCTCCCATTGTATCTGTACCAGATGGAAATTCCTCCGGTACAGCGATGAAACTACGTGGTCGAAGATGATGTTCAATAATGCTAGAGGACATCCCTGTTGCAACCCAAGGTGAACAGGGAATGGCTGTAACTCCCAGCTACGTAGCTTTACCCAGGCCTGCCCACCATCATGAAGGTCCTTAATGATTGTAAGCAGAGTCAGGGACTCCGAAAGCACGGACACGTACACATGGATACGCACAATGAACATGCAGACAGACACATATGGACATGAACATGCACAAAAGAACACAGGCACAAATTAACACAAAAGTACAAAGACAAAGATCCTCCATTTAGCCTTAAGACTGTAGGGGCAAGTGCTGTTAGCGAGCACCTATGAAGGCCGGCACGGCACACGAGGGGGTGGGTGGACAACACCACGCCCGGCCGCCTTTGTCTCCCTAGTGACGGTGTTTACACATTGCACCAGGTCCTCATTTGAGGCTGAGTCGACCTAGGGGAGGTCTGGGACCGGTTCAGATAATCGTCACATAAACACAGACACCAGACAGAGGCACACATAACTACTGTCATCTCAGACCCATGATGCCCACGACTCCTCCTGCCCAGTCGACATTGTACAGTGTTCTCAGCCATCCAATTAATCCACCATGGGTGTGGTGCTCAGGTGAGCTAAACACTGAGCATTGTGACACTCCCGTGAAATTACTGAATGTCGACACACGCTTACACAAGCACACCCAGGTTACAGACATGACTACGTGAAAGCTCGTGCATAAAACACACAAGAAGTGGCGACAGAATACACAACCAATGAAAATAAAGGCAACTGTTTGCACAGGAGAGCCTCGCAGAGTCTCAAGGCGTACTTTTCAGGAGGTCTGCTGTATTTAGATGATGGAGCAATCCCATTCATGACTTATAAGAGTGATGCGGGGTGGAGCAGGGCACAGTGGTCCGTGCACTGTGCCACGGCCACCCGAGTTCAATTCCTGTCCACGGCTAACATCAGTGGCGGGTGGTATCTGAACCACCCCTGGGCGCTCACTCCCTCTTCACCAACCCGCACTGAGCCTGCCTGATAAAGGCTGGTCGAACAGCACCCATGACTCATGCAACGCAAGGAGGCGCCATGGTAGCGAGATGTTAACTACCTTGCCTGGTATACAGGAGGTCGTGGGTTCACTCCCAACCCTGACGCCTGCTGTTTATTTGCAGTTTGCATGTTCTCCCCGTGATCGCGTGGTTTTTTTCTCCGGGTCCTCCGTTTTTTTCCCTCCAAGATTTTGAAACATGAGTTTGGAGTATTCAGCTGCTATAAATTTCCACGCAATAAGCCACTTAATTTGTGGCCAGCTCGATTCTGAAAGAAATCTATATAGCTCAGTGGGCCTTACCTGGGAAAATACAAATAGTTGGAACGTAGGAAGGCCTTCAACCTAACCCAGGGACGCGCACGTGAAATGGGATGCAGCTCTCACCTCGTGGTGCACGTATGAGTCGCAGGAGTAGCACCAGGCAGACAAGTCCGCGAAGCTTAGCACGAGCGCGTGTCCGCTCTTCTCGCTGTGCTGCAGCATGTGCCCGCGGACGTACCTCCCGCAATATGCCTACAATGTGCCAACCCGCACAGCGCACGCACGGTCGTTACTGATGGCTGCTGCATTCACTGCGATCTTCGACCCTTGACTCATGTGGATCGTTACAAATGGTAAATTCCCCGCAGCAATTCAATTAATCGTCACGATCCAGGGCCCCGATTTGATTCAAGAATCAATCTTTATTTATCTCGTCTTGTTCATCTCACATGTACTGATTGCTCTGTTAGACAAAATAGGGCATCATTTGTGTTGTCGACAAATGTGTTTGAGTTATCAGTCTTGTTTCATGGGACCTCCTTTGCCAGTACCAAAATATGAGAATAGGTTTTCCCCTTTTTTCTGGCAACAAAACAGGTGTTG